TAACTAATAATCAGAATGGATATACAATTAATGAGTGTATTTTTGACGCAAGTTGTTGTCATATTTGGCATCAATAAATCTTCACTTGTATCAGTCTTGGTGCGTGTACTTCATGTTGTGGAAATTGCAATAGTTTCACATCTTTTTCAATTATATGCAGTGAGTGACGCAGACATAACAACAACAAGAAAATGTGAAATAAACAATAATCCTTGTTGTAGTAGAATTGTAAACGCAAGAAATCAGGTTCATGATAATGTAATCATGACGAAAACACAGACAAAATATTCTCCGGCCCAAAATGGGGGAAAGATTAAAAGTAAACCTTAATACAACATTAAGATCGGCAGCTAACTATGTAAATGGGGTCTGAATGATAAATTATATTAAACTGGCTTATCCCAATATCTGTCACCATGGCTCGAACCAATAGATCAGATATTCACACTACGTCAGGTTCTAGAACACAGACACACATTCAGACGCCCCACAATGGTAGTATTTCTCGACCTTAAGGCGGCATTCGACTCGATTGATCGTGAGGTTCTATGGCAGTGTTTGTCACTGAAAGGAGTACCAAAGAAGTACATTAACCTTATAAAGGCTCTCTACTCGAACACAACTGGTCGAGTGAGAGCTTATGGCGAACTGTCATCAGAATTGATCACCTCAAGTGGTGTTCGTCAGGGCTGTCCACTCTCCCCATTCTTGTTCAACTTTGTCATTGACGTACTTTTAGAGATAACACTCTCCTCATCTAAATATACAGGGGTTGAACTTCTACCAGGAGGTTCACTTGTTGACTTAGAATATGCTGATGACATCGTTTTATTTGGTGAAGACACTGACAAAATGCAGAGTCTTCTGGCCACTCTAAGCAACAATGCAAGCATGTTCGGGATGCGATTCGCTCCCTCGAAATGCAAAATGTTGCTTCAGGATTGGGTTACATCGACACCCGAACTAGTGATAGGGAGTGAAGTAGTTGAGTGTGTCGACCGCTTCACTTATCTTGGAAGTCTCATCAGCCCTTGTGGTTTAGTGTGTGACGAAATCTCAGCACGGATACAGAAGGCTCGACTAGCTTTTGCCAACTTGCGTCATTTATGGCGTAGGCGAGATATCCGTCTATCAACCAAAGGACGTGTTTACTGCGCAGCAGTTCGTTCCGTCCTACTTTATGGGAGTGAAACATGGCCGGTAAGAGTAGAGGATATCCGTAGGTTACTAGTATTTGATCATAGGTGTCTTCGAAACATTGCTCATATATCATGGGACCATCGAGTAAGTAACACAGTTGTTAGGAAACGGGTACTAGGTAAGGATGGCAAATCAATTGATGAAGTAGTGAAACTTCATCAGTTGAGATGGCTGGGACACGTGTTACGTATGCCCAACGACCGACTGCCTCGACGTGCTATGTTCAGTGGTATAGGAGTAGGTTGGAAGAAAGCTAGGGGCGGCCAAACCAAAACATGGCACAAGTCCATGAAGTCACTGACAAGTGAACTGAGTCATGTTGGTAGGTGTAGACTACCTGGTTGGGGACCGCGAGATGACAGCAACCGTTGGTTAGAGACCCTGAATGACATGGCTCAAAATCGTTTGCAATGGCGCAGGTGCATCCACTCTCTGTGTTCTCCCAAATTCTAATCTTCTGAATTCTTCATGTCCCTTTTTTCCTCTTTCCAAATTTCTTTCACTGGATTATACTCTTTAAATAACATCTCCAAACCCTAATCTTCCCGATTACTGCTTATACTCTTATTACCTCTACCACTACGGGATTTGAATCGACAAGTGCATCTCTGTGCTAATGTGGTGTGGCAACTCGAACTGATGTACGTACGTACGAAGTTCTACGTTGTTACTGACTGACTGAACTGTAATATCCGCGGTCCTACTGCTTACATGTGGAGACGCGAGCTACTGCGCCTGTCACGGTACTAAGTGAAAAAACACAAGGACTGGTACAGATTGAGATCTATTGACTCTCTGGAATAATTTGTCCAGAATCATGTCATTACCAGTCCAAATGCACACATTTATGCACTGAATTTACACATAACTGGCGTTTAGTGAGTAAACATTTTGTAAATAAAATTATACACAGGGTTACTGTGAAGCACGAACGGAATATACATCAAATACTGGAAAGAACATAATTACTACACTGTGCGAAAGTTCACATCTATCATACTGAATGAAATTCACACTTCGCATCAGTTATGAATAGCGGCCGTCCAGTTTTACTCTTTAAACTTATCGCTACGGCTGTCTTTTTGGAACCAACTCTTTCATTTCTCAATGTATAAAACGCTGGAACTAGCGATGATATGTTCTACAATTATACCAACAGGTTGAAAAGTTGATTATAAAATCGTTTTCAACGCTGTATGACGCCCATATAAACATCTATTTAAACAGCTATTTCGGTCATTCACACATTAAACACCATACTTTATGAAATTTTCTATTTTCTGCAGTAAACAAACAACTGGTGAATCTCCAGTTCTTATGTTTAATCTGTTAGAAAATGCAAGCATGATAAGTTGATTTAAAAGAACTGAGTTACAGCTGTGTATAGACTGCAGACGAAGTCAAAAATTCATCATACAAGTTTTGTAGTCGAAAGTGGTAGCCAACGCTCTTTGTATAAATCGTAAAAGTGAAACTAATCAAAAACTTTATATTCATCCAAGTTTTTGTCAAGATGAATCCATCTGAAATAGCATTATTAAGGGAGATAAAGCAAAAGTACGAGAGACTCACTTGTTTAGGTTTTCCAGTGCAGACAATCAAGGAGCACCTAAGTTCACACAGCTTTTTCCTTTTATCATCTTAAAAATTATATGACGACAAAGATGTTTCGTCTATTAAAATGAATCAATAGTTACTTATTTTATTGTAAGATACATTAATCTAAAAACGTTGGTATTTGAAGCTGCCATGAATGTAATCTAGTGGTAGTGAATAGAACAGTCAGTAATTTCTTGAAATCTTACCCATCAATATTAAAGTATTATGACATATAAAGTTTGTAACTTTAGTTTAATCGCGAAATCTTTATGCCAGTCTTATTCTGCAACAGAATTTATAAATTATGCAATCTTAAAAATTTATCATTAATTCAACGTAAGACAAACCGTCCTACTAAGATAAGACTGGAAAATAAGCTTGATAAAATAGGAAAGATCTATGAAGAAATAAAGAAATTCTGAGAGATAATATAATATGCTTCAGAATTACTTAACGGCTGCGAAACGTGGCCATTAACAGTAGAAGATACTCGTAAGCTACTAGTATTTGACTACAGATGCCTTGGAGATATTGCTAGCATTTTCTGGGATCACCAGGTAAGTAACAGGGAGGTTAGATGCAGGGTGTTAAGGAATGATGGTAAATCAGTTGATGAGGTTGTGAATCTTCATCGACTGAGGTGGTTGGGTCACCTGTTACGTATGGCTGAACACCGATTACCACGACGTGCAATGCTAACCGGTGTTGGAGATGGTTGGAAGAAAGTTAGGGGTGGCCAAACCAAAACGTGGCATCAGTGTTTGAAGCCACTAACTTCTTGTCTGACCCATGTTGGTAGGTGAAGATTACTTGGTTTGGTTCCGAGTGACTATCGTAAATAATGGTTGGAGATTCTCAGTGACATGGCTCAGAATCTATCACAATGGCGTCGGTGTATACACTCTCTGTCTTCCCTTAAACTAAGAGATTAAAATTGCTTCATATCTTTCTTTCTACCAACTAATTCTTTCTTCCTGTACTATATCTTTATATGCAATCTTTCTTTTATATATTACCACCACATAATTAACCACTCCTATGAATCTGGTGTTCATCTTGCTGTGCTAATGAGGTATGCCAACTTGAACATATGTCCTACGTTGTAGCTGATGCACCAAGTATAAATAAAATTGAAGCTCTTTTTTAATAATCCGAGTTATTAATATCACAGAATTTTAAACTAAATGGATTGTTTTTTAATAGTCTTTACTCATCATACATTTGTGTACATTGGTAAAAGTAATATTTATGAGAAATGATAATACATCTACCACAAGCGAAATAATTGTTGATTATGATATTCCATTCTAGTAATGGGCAAAACGTTTTAGATTAATATGGATCGCAAGCCAACATCAGTGAAATGAACATTGAAAGTTAAAAAGCACTACATATATGTGTTACATCAGTTTGTAAACTAGCAACAGTGCATCTACACTATACTATATGGGATCAACCTAAATCTATCAAAGTTTCATAACTAGTATAACGTTTTTCAACCGTCAAATTAAATTCCATCAGTTCTTGTCTTTTGTTTCAACCAATTGTCATATATCATAATTCTGAACTAATGTTATTAGTGATTACTATCGGACTACAGAATTGTGATAGTTCAACACTAAGATTACAAAATTTCCACTTTGGAATGAATCATCCGAGAATACAAGATGGTTACATATTTATATGAATTTGTAGAAAATTTTATAATCTAATGTAAACCTTCATCAAAAACTTTTTTTTGACTAAATTCCCAGTACTTGAAATACAATCTAATAGTTCTTGATTTTATTCCATGTGAATTGCAGTTCATCTTACTAAAAAAAGCATTGGATCTCAGAAGATCATCATAGAATATTCTTCAACTAACTTGACTTGATGATTGAATTCATTATGTATTTACTCAAAATCTTATTTATATGCTCCTTAGGGTGAAAACTCTATTAATGGTTGATAAATGTAGTGTTTTTGATGGAGTTTTGTTCTATGAGCTGGATAGTTGAATGGATGGACTAAACCATCCAGCTCAAAGAACAAAACTCCATTAAAATCATCCATCTGAGTTATAAATCTTCTCCACCATTAGTGTAATGTAGTGTCTCATACTTTAAACCAAACATTTATTCAATAGCTATTTACTTTGTTAAATAATTTATAAATACATCTTATTCATTTAGAAATATGCTCCAATCTGAATACTAAAAATGTCTGACCATGAAGATAATCTAGATCCTAATCAACAAAAAGAAGATGATATTAGCCTTGAAGATAAGAATTCTATTGAAATATTACCAGTTGATGATGACAAATCTTCAATAGTCGGTAATGTTAAATTTAGAAAAACAAACTCATTCACTTTCACAGAGAATAAAAATCAAGAAGAGCAAGTTATTGGTAAACTAGAAAATGATAAACCTAAACAAGAAGATATTTTTTCATCTTCTAATCAACAAGAACTGGTACCTAGTCACAATTCAATAAACCATGTTAATGAACAAACTCAACAACAACAACAACAACAACAACAACAACAAGATCAATATGAAGATGATAATAATAATAATAATAATCATACTAATATGACACAATCAATAAATGAACAATCTAAAAAGATGATAGATCCTGAATTCTTTTATAATTATACTGATTATATTGTACAACCAATGATCCCTGAAAATTCTGGTATACCAATAAATCTTTTAAAAGTTTCACATTTATTCGGTATGGATGTAACACGTAGAGAGAATATACAATTACTTCATTATAATAATAATAATCTATTATGTCATATATATGGTAATTATTTACAAATAATTAATATGGATACAAATGATATCATAATGATACGTTCAATGAATGGAATTGGTATTGGTACATTTTGTATACATTCACAATATAAGTATATAGCATTAGCTGAAAAAGGTATTATACCAAATGTATGCATTTATCAATATCCTGATATAAAATTATATCGTATATTAAAAGAAGGTACTCAAACTGCATATACTGCATGTCAGTTTAGGTATGTTCATGATAATCTTCTTCTTTATTTGTATGTGTATATATCATTAGGGGTCTGCGTGACTATTGTAGCTAATGGCTGGATACTTTAGGTGACATGAATTAGAATCGATCACAGTAGAGTAGGTGTATACACTCTCTTTCTTCCCATAAACTAAGAGATTAAAATCGCTTCATATATTTCTTTCTACCAACTAATTCTTTCTTCCTGTATTATATCCTTATATGCAGTCTTTCTCTTATATATTACCACCTTTAAAGTAACTACTTTATGTATTTGGTACTCATCTTGTTGTGCTAATGAGATGTGGCAACTTGGACCGATGCATATATGTGCCTTGTCCTACATTGTGGCTGACTGACTGACTGAAGTATAGGTTTATGTTATGAATTTTAGATCTCAATTAAATTGTAATCTTTACCTAGCTGCTTAAAACAGTTGAAGACAAAGTGCAGTTTAAACTTATTATTCAATAAATTTACTTGGTGTTGTTTACTTGAATCTTCCAATTGATGTTCACGACTGTAATTAATCATTCTCTGATTGACATATATGCATCCTGTATGTATTGCCTCGATATTTCTTTAATTCACAAGCCCCGATATGTCCTGGTACGGTTGAGAGTGGAGAGAGTTAACTTTCTCTCTCTCGAAATGCTCTCACATGACCACGTGCATACAACCACTAACACGTAAGTCCTACTCACTGCATTCTCACGCCACGGACGTTGTTTATGAAATTGAGAGGACCAAAAACCGACGTCCGGCTCTTTAGCCGGATTGATGGATATGCAGGATCCATAGAGGGAAGTTGGAAAACCCTAATTCCAAACCAATGGTGCACATGAAGTCCAGGATCCTGAGGGAAAAAAAGTCTTATGAAACGATTATTGGTCACCGATTTCTATGGGACTGGACCTCCTTACATTGCTGCCCTGTGGAATAGACATTGAGATCAAATGCTCCGGGTGTGACCCCACAAGAAAACCACCGGTTTCGGTTTAAACACCCGAGGAGTATCCTAGCCTTCACACAAATCGAATGATTTATGTGGCGCATATCTATTTGGTGCCTTCTTGTACCTATGTTTATGTTTTTAAATAAATAAAGCTATTGAGTCCTGATAGCTCTTTGTTTGTGCAATAGGAAGAGATTTAAATTCACTTGGTATTGTCATGCATGGAGGACAGCTGACATATACACTCCAAGTGAGGACCGCAAACAGATAAGGCTACTTACTCTACCTACTTCTCTTTCTTCTGGTGGTTCACTGGATTATAAAGACTTTTAAAACTCAGGCTAGAATCTTAAAACGGCCGTCCAGTGCTTCTAGGTTTTCTATAGTGATCTACCTCTGATTGGCTCATGAATTCAACTGGTAAATTAATACAATCTCCACAAATATCCTCTCTGATCATGATCTTTTTTCCCAAGCTAAAATATTACGCCTTCTATCTATCATTGATCTCAGTAATTTTGGTTCTCATTTTATTGCCAAGATGTTAGCTGAATTCTAAAGATAGCGGTGAGATAATTTAATTGATTAACTTAAATGATAACTTTTTGTATAGTTTGATCTGTATCTCAATTTCACAACTGAAGCCGCTTGGCGTAAGTGTCTGTGTAAATGATGAAAAACGTTCTTTTTCTTCATTGAAAAAATTTAAGAACATTAATAAACATAAAGTATATTGAAGAATAACGCGGATATCGTAAGTTGTTTTAGGCATTCAGAAAACAACCATTGTGAATAATTACTTTGTGATAGAAAGTGGAAGTCAGTCAGTCAGTCAGCTACGACGCACGACCAGGCACATATATGCATCGGTCCAAGTTACCATACCTCATTAGCACAACAAGATGAACACCGGATTCATTGAAGAAGTTAATTCAATGGTGGTAATATATAAAAGAAAGATTGCAATAAGGAAGAAAGAATTAGTTCGTAGAAAGAAAGATATGAAAAGAATTTAATCTCACGGTTTAAGGTAAGACGGAGAGTGTATACACCTACTCCATTGTGATTGATTCTGAACCATGTCACTTAGAGTCCCTAACCATTGGCTACAATAGTCGCGTGGACCCCGACCAAGTAATCTGTATGTATATAAATTTTACATGAATGAGCATTCTTAGGTTGGTTATGTGCTTTTATTATTATGAATTTGTGGAGATCGCTGAACTTCATTTATATCACGAACCGATCCAAGTTAGGCAACCACGTTTGTAATTACTATAGTTTACATTTGGAATCGAGGTTCGAGGTTAGTTTATGCATATCATAACTGCAAACTTTAAGTTTATCAACCTCACTCCAACACGCTAAAATTAAGTCGTAATTCTGACTTAAACGTAATTATATATTGAATCCTATCCTTCATCCTAACATTGCTGAGAACTATTACTTACTTTCAGTTTGTTTAAACTCATTAACAGTCATTTTATCCTCGTATTCATATGTGAATGTTTATTTTCAGTAATCTAAGACCTTTTTAAACACTGAATGACGTTAAGATGGTGGTTGGAGGTAGTCGACAGAAAAACCTGAACCCAAGTTTCATCCTACTTGGGACTCGTCAGCTGTATGTGCCTGCTTCTCAGAGTTGATGTTCATTCTGGTACTCGAACCCAGTACCGTTCGCTTCAAACGCGTCCTAGATTCCACTACCAGTCACTATCCATCTTTGCTTATAAAGCCTGTGACTTCAGGCAATATCGAGGTAGTCCGCACAGGATGCACATATGCCAGCAAGAGACTGATCAATTGGGAAGATAAAAGCAAATAACACCAAGTGAGTTGGTAAGTACGGCGATATTCTCCACTAGCATGAATCAAACAAATAAGTAAATAAATATAACTTTTAATAGTTGAATTCATGAGTCAATTGTAGGCAAACCATCATGAAAAACCTGGAAGCACTTGATGGCCGTTTCATTCTAGTATGAGACTCGTTAGCAGTGCACATTCACAATCGTGCTTTACGAGATTCGAACTAAGGAACTATCAATCTCACGAGTAAACCCTTAACCTCCAGATCACTGAGTAAACATTCAATAGTGTTAAATTCTAACTTCAAAGATAACTTACATAATGAAGTTTCTTTTGCAAGAAATAGTTTTGAAATAAAACAATACTGTTTTTTTTTTCAATATGTTGTGTTTAGTCCAGATGGTGAATTATTAGCTACAGTTGGCTCTGATCCTGATTATACATTAACATTATGGGAATGGAGAAATGAACAAATTGTATTAAGATCTAAAGCATTTTCACAAGATATATATCATATTGCATGGTCAAATGATTTATATGGTCTATTAACTACAGTTGGTATTGGACATATAAAATTTTGGAAAATGGCTAATACATTTACTGGTTTAAAACTTCAAGGGAAATTAGGCAAATTTGGTAAAATTGAATTATCGGATATTGAAGGATTTGTTATATTACCTGATGGTAAAGTATTAACTGGTTCAATATGGGGTAATTTACTTCTATGGGAAGGTGATTTAATTAAATTACAAATAACACGTAAAAATAAACGACCATGTCATAATGGGAATATTATGCAAATTATTATAGATGAAGGTGAATTAATGACAATTGGTCAAGATGGTTGGATTCGAGTGAGTTATGATACTCTCTTTGTTTTCTTCTTTGTTTGTTTTTATTTTTGTTTTATTTCGGTGGGAATAATCAATGGTAACTTTAGGAATCCATTTATCGACCAATACTATGCGTATATTTTTATCGTATAATTGTTAAATAACTAAACTATTCATATTCGTGTCCCTCGTATCATGAGCTTTATTTTGAACTATGAATTATTATTATACGATTTGCCATTCTTGAATTATGCCCTATCTATGAATTATTATCTCAAGGTCTAAGGGCGAAGTCGTACTGCTAACTGTAGACGGGTGTGACAGCAGTAAGGTGTTTCCCTCGGACAACCAGCATCTGCAGCGATGATGCCTTTTCACAAGGAAGGAAGGGGTTAGAAAAGGTCGACCCTAAAATGTCACACCTCACCTTACCTCACGGATTTCCGTCTCCGGCGGTAAGGCCCTTTGAAGAACGGAGCTAACACATTAAAAACCTTCCACAAAAAGGCCGTGCGCGACCGGCCTCAAGCAGTTGTCCCTTGGGCTCTGCGGTCACGCTCCCAGGTCGTCAAGACCAACACTAATCCAATTTCCTTTTCAGGTTCCTCAAGAAATACCCTTCCACGGTGTGGGCAGCCGGGAAGTGACATCAGCCCTCATACCCGTAACAGCACACGAGACCAAGTTGATCACATTCAAATCCTTCCTACACCTCCTAATACCTCTCTTATCTCCCCGACTAACCCTCCTCACGTCTCTTTATCACCTCGCACCGCTAGGGCAAACGATTCGAGTATGCAGAACGTTATTCCTGGTCTCCTGAAACCACGCTCTAAACTACACGTAGGAGCTTTTAACGTACGAACACTGTGCCAAATAGGACAACAGGCTTCCTTAGCAAGACTTTAGAATCCCGCGCCATCGATGTGTGCTGCGTCTCCGAAACGCGCATACAGGATCCGAGTAGCGTCATTCATTTGACCTCACCATGCCAAAATAAAGAACCGACTCGATTCACGCTTCGTGTATCTGGAAGCCCTGATTCTGCTTCCCGTGGCCTCGCCGGCGTAGGTATAGCATTGAGTCCTAGGGCAGAACTAGCTCTCTTAGAGTGGATCCCAGTAGACAGTCGTTTGTGCGCTGTCCGACTGAACGGAACAGTAAGAATCCGGAAAGATAGGGACACTCGTCGTTGCCTCTTCGTCGTCTCTGCCTATTCTCCCACTGACTGCAGCTCAGATGATGTAAAAGATGAGTTTTACAGAAAGCTTTCCGACCTTCTCCGAAAAGCTAGGCGCTCGGATGTAGTAATAGTGGCCGGTGACTTTAATGCTCAAGTAGGTAAACTAAACGAAAGGGAAAGACACCTAGGTGGATCTTATGGTGTCGTGGCTCAAAGAACAGATAATGGCGACCGTCTGTTGCAGCTATGCTCAGATAACCGCCTGTTCCTTGCAAATACTAACTTTAAGCATAAGGAAAAACATCTTTTAACATGGCGACCCCCTAATTCGTCCCAACGTTGGACCCAAATAGATCACATCGCTATCAGCCACCGATGGAGGGGCTCGATAGAAGACTGTCGCTCATTCTGGAGCACATGCTTAGATTCAGATCATGCTCTAGTACGAGCGCGTATTTGCTTGCGTCTTACTGGACGTAGGAAAGACGCTGCAAGGAAACCTCTTAGGGCCTACTTAATGATAGTCAAGCTAAGAGTATATTTCAGGAACAACTAGGAAAACAGTTAGGCAGCCATGTATGTGATGCCCACCCCGATGCAGCATGGAATGATATCCGAAAAGCTGTGGAAACAGCAGTGATATCTGCTAGTAAGGTAAACCAGAAGGTTAGGGAGCAACACTGGATCTCAGCAGCATCTATCGCACTGATAGATGCTCGGAAACTCATTCCACCTGGCTCTGAACATAATGAAGAGCGGAGTCAGCTTAAGCGCAAGCTGACAAGAAGTCTACGCAATGATCGTGAACAGTGGTGGGTAGCGAAAGCAAGAGAGATGGAAAAGGTAGCGGCAATAGGTAATATCAGACAATTGTTCAGACTTTCTTCTTTTCTTTGATGTTTTCGAAGAAGAAAGATAAGAAAACATCAACAATAAAATACAATTTGAATTGTTCAGACTTGTTAAGGAAACAGGTATTAGGAAACCGACTGTTAGCGAAACACTCTCAGAGAAAGATTTACATATTATACATTCTCCATCCAGGAGATTGGATCGATGGGCAGAACACTTTAGGGATCAACTCAACTGGCCTTCAGCCACACTTCGGTTTCCCACGATCTCCAGTCAACCTGAATGGCAAGTTGATGTTAGTCCTGCAACTCTTTACGGAGTTGAAAAAGTTATAGGAAATCCGAAGCATAGGAGAGCAGCAGGCCCTGACAGGTTTACTACTAAGATTTTGAGGGATGGTGGTCAGTATCAGCAGTGAGATTAACTGAGGTCTCAGGTAGAATTTGGGAACTGGACGTAGTCCCATCTGACTGGTCTCAATCACTGATTGTGCCAGTCTATAAGAAAAGACAAAAGTCCTCTTGTGACAATCACAGAGGAATCAGTTTGACAAATATAGTGTCTAAAATATTAGCTTCACTAATACTTCGACGCCTAACCAAAGCTCACGAAGAGCAGACTAGAGAAAACCAGGCTGGTTTTCGACCTGGACGTGGTTGTATAGACCAGATATTCACACTACGTCAGGTTCTAGAACATAGACATATATTCAGACGCCCCACAATCGTAGAATTTCTCGACCTTAAGGCGACATTTGACTCTGTTGATCGTGAGGTTCTAGTTCAGTGTTTGCCACTGAAACGAGTACCAAAGAACTACATTAACCTAATACAGTCTCTCTACTCGAACACAACTGGTCGAGTGAGAGCCTATGGGGAACTGTCATCAGAATTGATTACCTCAAATGGTGTTCGTCAGGGTTGTCCACTCTCTCCATTCTTGTTTAACTTTGTAGTTGGTGTGCTTTTAGAGACAACACTTTCCTCAACTAGATTTCCAGGGGTTGAACTTCTACCGGGAGATTCACTTTTTGACTTAGAATATGCCGATCACATAGTTCTAGTTGGTGAAGACGCTGACAAAATGCAGAGTCTTCTGACCACTCTAAGCAACAATGCAGGTATGTTCGGCATGCGATTCTCTCCCTCGAAATGCAAAATGTTGCTTCACAATTGGGTTGCATCGACACCCGAACTAATGATAGGGGTGAAGTAGTTGAGCTTGTCGATCGCTTCACTTATCTTGTAAGTCTCATCAGCTCTTGTGGATAAAACGCGTTAAAATAAGACTAAATTAACAAATAAACCACAGCCTTGAGGAATATTTTATAATCACAGAGCTCTGTTCTGAACAACTCAGAAGTAAGTATGTTTATGTCTATTTATGATAAATGTGTATCCTTTATTTTTTGAGGTAATTACCAACATTTTTAAAGATATAACCAGTTGCTGCCATTTCTACAAGGTATTATTGAGTGCTGTAAAAATTAGTATTTTTATAATGGTGATGCTGAATGACTCACTTCTTAGTCAGTCAGCTTCAATGTAGGACCAGGCACGTATGTGCATCGGTCCAAGTTGCCACATCTCAATAGCACAACAAGATGAACACCAAATACATAGGAGTGGTTAATTCAGTGGTGGTAATATATAAAAGAAAGATTGCATATAAGAACATAGTACAGGAAGAAAGAATTAGTTGGTAGAGAGGAGGATATGAAGCGATTTTAACCTCACGCTTTAAGGGAAAACAGGGAGCGTATACGCCTACGCTATTGTGATCGATTCTGAGCCATGTTCCTCGTAGTCTTCTACCATTTGTTACAATAGTCACATGGACCCCAATCAAGTAATCTGCATCCACCAACATGATTCAGATCAAAAGTTAGTGACTTTGTGGACTGATGCCATGTTTAAGTTTGGCCACCCCTAACTTTCTTTCAACCATCGTCAACTCTAGTCAGCATTGCACGTATCTCTAACTTGTGCTTAGAGTTCCTTGCAAATGAAAGTACACTGATTTTTTAGAAAGTTACTATTTTATTACATAAATTTCATCTTATTTCATTCATAGACATGGGATTTTGAAACTGTGGATACAGCGGAATCTTCAGAAGAAGGTGGATTCTATGAACTAGAACCAATGAATGAATTACGTGTTGGAATAAAAGCTAATTTAATGCATATTGTAAAAATTCCATTACCTGATTCTACAATGTGGTATGCTCAAGTAAGTTATTAAAACTGAATTATTCTCAACTAAGTGCCAGGATTAAATTTTGAACCGAGGATAGTAACAAGAAGAAAATAAATTGGTCATATTGATTCGAGATTTCTTATTGTCATCAATAACATCACCAATTGGAAATAGTTCAAATTTAGGAACTATATGATTTCAAGCCAAAGATCGATATAATTATTATTTTAGTGCCGAGATTTTTAAATATCTATGCTAGAAATGTAAACTATGCTCCCAAATGTCCTGGTACAGTCGAGAGTGAAGAGAGAGTCAGCTCTCCCACACGAAATGCTCTCATATGGACACGTGCTTACAACCACTGCCTTCTTACGGCTGGGCTGTTGTTTATTAAATTGAGAGGATGGAAAGCGAATGTCCGGCCCTTTACCCGGGTTGTTAGATATGGAGCACCCACCTAGGGGAGTTGGAAAACCCTAATTCCAAACCAATAGTGTACATGGGCTGAGGGAGCAAATGGCGTATGAATCAATTATTGATCACCGGCTACCATGTTACTGCATCTACTGACGAAAATTACTGGAAAATTGTGTGGCGCATATGTATCTAGTGCCCCTTTGTACTAATATTTATGTGTTCAAATAAATAATAACTCAGTAGTCTGAAAGTTAAAAGCTTGTGACGAAATCAAACAGTCTCAGGTCCAACTTTTAATGAGTTCGTGGATGTACACTTCTAAGAAGTTTCAACTAGAACGAAATAGTTGTCTTACACTTTTTATTTCTCTAAATTCAGTTCACGTTAATGTTATATAACACATACATAATCATAAATCATTAACCATATTCAATTTGATGATGTCTTCTTTCTGTTACTTATGTTTTATTTCCTCTGAATAAAAAGGATGCCGATGGAGCTATATGGAAATTAGATTTATCCTTTTCACATACATCATTAGCACCAGAATGTTTAGAAGAGTTCCATGCTAATGATATTGTTGATTGTGTAACATCACCGTCCACTTATTGTGCAGCTACAGTTGGTCTTGATGGTACGTTGTTGATCATTGTATTATTTTACGTAATACTGTTCACGAGCCAGTGAAAATAAACAGATTTCCTAGTTAAGTTATTTTGGGTCCATGAGATCGGACCTTAAGGTAGGAGAACAGTTGTATTGATCGAGTTTGAAAATTGCTTAGGTCTCTTAGGTTGTCTATCTAGTACCAATGATCTTCAGCTAACCAATTGGGTGGTAGAAGTGAGATAAAAACCCAGAGTAACACTAAATGACTGTTGATTCACGCTCGCTCGTCTGATAGCTAAATTTTCACAAATGTTGTATATTCCGTTAATTCAACATAAAGGGATGTTGCAGAGACCATTTTAATTGATCTAATAATTTGTAAACTTATACACTACCATCATCATCGTGGCTGGCCGCTCCATCTTCAATCAGAAGACCTGAAACTGTTCCACAGATGGCGAGACTCTCTATCAATCTTTGATAACTGAGTCCTGTTTGGTGATCGAGTTGTCATTCCTAATCATCTTCGGCAGTAGATAATGAAGTTTATACACTCTTATCATTCTGTCATGAGTCTCATGAAGTCAGTAACCCGTACTTACGTATACTGGCCAAATATCGATTTAAGAAATTTCAAGACGATGTTAAAAGTGTGTACAATCATCTAAATGACCCATTATAGATGGACGTCGACCATGGACAGCACCGACAGAACCTTGATTACTCCTTCATATAGATTCCGCTCAACCTTTTCAGGGTAAACAATTCATTATTATTGTCAATGGATTTCGAAATGGCCAGAATTGTTCGTAATAACCACTGTGTCCGCCAGTGTCACGATACAAAAACTTACAGGAGAGTTCAGCCGTTTTGGACAGCCACACACTATTATTCCCTATAATAGAACACAGTTCACTTCAACCAAATTTAATAAGTTCTGCAGAGAAAACAGTACCAATCGTGTCAGATATCCTTTATACTACCCCCCATCAAATGGTCAAGCGGAACGTTTTGTTGATTCATAAAAAAGGGCTATTCAAAAAGAGAAGGGGAAGGTAGGGTAGAGGAAATTATACCAAGGTTCTTGTTAAGTAACCGTTCAACACCGAGTCCAGAAACAATAAACGGGTTATCTCCAGCAGAAAGTATGTTTAGGCACAAAATTCGGATTGTGTAACAAAATCTGGTACCAAGATCGAAGAAAATACGAATAAAGAAGCCACAGTTCAGTGAACATCACCTTGTCGAAACCAAAAGTTTTCATCAAGGTGAAACAGTTTTGGTGCGGGATTTCTGTGATTCCAGACAACGATGGGCAAATGGAATAATAAAAAGGACAGAAGCAGTTATTTATAAAGTGAAAGTGGGAGAATTCAAGTGAACGAGCTACAGTAATCAGATAAAAAGACAAGAGTAAAAACGCTGTAGCTACTCAAGAGTTTTAAAACTTGCCAGGAAATACACTAATGGAATATCCAGCTAAAAAAATAAAAACCCGACTGGAACCTGGAATGGTTGCACATATTTTTATGAAGTATACGTAACAGGTGACGCAAACATAACACCAGAACAAAGAACAGATCAGCAAACAGACAACTTCTAACCATACACTTCGAACCCGACCGTTGCTGCTACTTTGATATAGCGGTCGGGCTTGTCCATCGTAATGAACCAATCAAGCTATAGTGGCTGGAACAACCGCTCCTCAAGGTCCTACTACACCAGACAGGTCGGCTGAAGAGCGGTAAGACTAAAACCAGCAAACCTTAAGTCAGTGGGCGAAATTGTACTGCTGACTGTACAGATGTGTGACGGCAATAAGATGTTTCTTTCAGATAACCAGCATAACAGCGATGCTGCCTTTCCACAAAGAATGGTGGGGTTAAAAAACTTATTTACGCTTGTTACTCCTGGTTGTGGAGCATAAATCGCCCACCAGCACTCTCCATCCATTCATTCTCTTCATATCTGCTTCTATTTCCCGACGTTATGCGTTCTTCGGGGTTGGAAAAGATCAGTACTAAAAATGCACACCTCACCTTATTCCACGGATTTCCGTCCCCTTCTTTAAGGTCTCAACAAGTACGGAGCTGAATAGGATAAATCTCTTTGGACTATTCTTATTAATATACAATATTCAAGTCGGTTTGATACATCCCATGTTCCTATAATATATAAAACGTTTTCGTTTGGATTCCTAATTTATCTTTACATAAAAAGGATATTCTATCCTTCCATTGGAATCTCAAAACATCTTAACTATTGTCTATTTTGATGATAAAAATCCTCAGTTTCACTTACACCGTCAGTGTTGAAGTAAACTAGATTTTACTTAAAAGATGAATCCTAATATCATCAAGATTGTATAAGACAATCGTCTAGGTCTAGAATAATAAAACAATTATTGAAACAGTGAATTGTTCCTTATACTTCTAGGAATTTTCTCGATGCAAATTATATGTAGGATCGAATTGACTGATACTTTATTAGTAATCTAGATTAGTCATAAGGGTAGTGACTATGAAAGTTTACATTGATATGAGTTAAACAGTAAAACGTCATGTCAATAAATCTAGATAAACAAAAATGGATAGTGGTTAGCATTGGAATCCAAGATGCACGTTTCGTCCTATTTGGGACTCGTCAGCTGGATGTACCTGTATACCAGATTTGGTATCCACTTTGGACTGATCAACTGCAGTTCTAAATAACCATGAGTAGATACAACCAAACAGTACCAAGTGAATTTAAATATGGATCAAATTTAACTAATTATTATATTGTCCAATAAAGAATGTCATGTTGCTTACTAAATAGTACTGATAAAATTCTTTTGACAGTTTATAATCATTGAATAATGAACTAAGTTGTAACCAAAATTTAGGTTATTCAGTCTAGAGAAGTCCTACTTCAAATTAACTAATAAAATACCAACAACAATAGGAACTGAATTGTTATAGCTTGTGCCCTATGTCCTAATGTAATGATACCGCCAATTAGAGAAAAGTGTTATATCGACCGGACCAATGATGCTTAAAACAAGTACGAGCAGTCTAGAGTCCTTATCGGTCCTTCTTCCCGCCTAGCCTCCGCGATATGAATCATGTATTTCAAACATACTTTGTTTATATACCAACCAGACAGACCACAACATACCATAAAATAGAAAATAACATTTATATAAGATTTAGTCAAATTTGGCTGTGATTGAGGGAGACTGTAATTAATAGACTGGGCATAAATCAAGTACGATAAATCGTATCATAATTGTCTATGAGTCAAAATAAGGCTTATAATAAGAGCAGTATAGACATACACAATCTAGTCACTGAATAGTTATATAATAAGAATAAACGTATAATATTTGTCCATAAATGGATCCCAACAGTTATCATTGATTAGTTTCGTCGGGATATAACATGAATAACGAAAAAAATTGTTAAACATAGTTATCAAGTTTTGATAGAGTTTTGTTCTCTGAGCTGGATGGTTTAGTTGTGAAGTTCTTTGAGTGTTATAGCCTAAACCCGTCAATCAGAAGCAGCGAATTATCGATCGGACCAAGGACGCATAAAACTCGTACGAGCAGTCCCGAGTACTTATTGGTCCTGCTTCCTGCCTAGCCTAGCCAGTTAAGTCCAGAACATCAGTCCGAGCCTCTGCGATATGAATTATGTAATTCAAACATACTCTGTTTATATACCAACCAGACAGACCACAACGCACCAATAAAATATGAAACAACATTCGTACAAGAATTAGCCAGATGTGACTGTGAATGAGGGAGGTAGTAATTAATAGACAGGGCATAATTCAAGAATGGTAAATCGTAAAATAATAGTTCATAGATCAAAATGATGCTTATAACAAGAGGGACACGAATATGAATAGTTTAGTTACTTGATAATTATACAATAGAAATATACGTTTAGTATTGGTTCATCAATAGATCCCAAAAGTTACCATTCATTATTCTCGTTAGGACATTGAGCTAACAATCCAGCTTAGAGAACAAACCTTCACATCAAAATCATCCACCTGAGCTACAAATCTTCACCATCTTATGGTTATCAAATTCCGAATCACATATGAACAAGATAGAAAGTATAAAATAGTTTGTTACCATTTGTATTTTATTCTTTTGTTTTATTATATTTCTATCTTAGGTAAAGTATGCATTTATGATATTGTTCAAAAGAAAATTCTTGTTTCAAAACGATTTCCATCAGGTGGTTCATCATTAATTTGGAGTCCACCACAAGTACATGGAATATTATTTAAAATTAAATGATTTTAAAATGAATTGTATCTTTTGATTGAGATCATGAATTGATTGATGTAAGACGATCATTGAGAACGTATAAGTACTGGACGGCTGTTTCATCCTATTTTGGGCCTCTAAGATCCTGCCTCACAAGATTTGTTCATGCATGCGCACTGCTGAAAAGTTACACAATAGGACGAAACGGCTGTTCAGTACTTCTAGGTATTTTCATGGTGGTCTAGCTTCAATTGACTCATGATCAACTGACTTAAAAACCTAATCATCTCTACAACCGTACACTGTGAATTATATTTCTCTACATTTTGCAAACTAAAAACAATCGTGTTAGGTGTAAAATAACCATCATTAATAACACTTGATGATGTGATGTAGGGGAGATATACATCTGCCAAATCAACGGAAAACTGCACTACGCAACTGTTCTTCACGTACTACTCTGTGGTTGTGAAGTTAGTGTGATTGGTTTTTAACCATAGGTTTTTTCGCAGCATTTATTGAGTATCGTGAGGCTACTGAGAGATTAAAGTTGAGGTTAGGTGTTAGACACAATACAAACATAGCTAGTCTTTAGATGATTTTGTGAATCTCCTTTGATCAAGAGGATTGAGACGTGTGTTGTGTGTAAACAACCAACTTCTGCCTCGATAAATAACATTTGATAGAGTAGAAATAATTCATATGCACGCTAATAGTGGTAAAACCAAAACGTTGTATCCCTCTATGAAATCATTGACAGTTAGTTGGAGATGTGTTGGTGGATTCAGGCTACTTGACAAGTGATGACCAAGATCGATTGTTGGAGTTGGGTGATACTACTGCAAATCAATTGTCTTTTAGCAGACACATTTACTCTTTATCTGGTTCTATATCTTTAATTTCAGCAAACCTTCATATGTATACATTTCTATTTAGCTTCTTCAAACCAAATTTTCAATGTTTAATCGTTATCATTACCATTACTAATTCTATTATTGTGACTTCTATGGTATTCATGCTGTTCATTTTTTTTCGTTTTGCTGAAATGATTTAACTACTCAGGCTAACACACATTAATTATTATTGAATGACTTGATAATGGTCGCGCGATATCACAAACTGATTGAAGTTAAAAGTGAGAACCATCTCAATTGATGTCTTGAGTACATAATACTTACCTACTTACTTATGCCTATTGCCTCTCGCGAAGGAGCATAGGCCGCCCACCAGTAATCTACATCCAACCCTGTCCTGGACAATCCTTTGCGGTTCTTTCCAGTTGCTATTCATCCTTTTCATGCCTCCTTCCAGTTCTCAAAACAGTGTGTTCTTCGGTCTTCCTCTCTTCGGTTCCCTTCACGATTCCAATTTAAAGCTTGCCTCGTAATGCAGTTTAGTCATTTCCGTAATGTATGGTCCTAACCACTTCCAACGTCTTTTCCTTATATCTTCTTCAGATTAAAGTTGGTTTGTTCTCTCCCATAGTAGGCTGTTGCTGATGGTATCCGGTCAACGGATATTGAGTATTTTGCGTAGACAACTATTTATAAATACTTGTACATGTTTGATGATGGTTGTATTAGTTCTCGAAGTTTCAACTCCATACATTAAGACTGTCCTGACGTTCGTATTGAAGATTCTGACTTTGATATTAACTGACAGTTGTTTTTAATTCTATATGTTCCTGAATTGTAGGAATGCGGTCCTTTCTTTGTCAATCCTCACTTTCACATCTGATACTTGGTTTTATCTAATTGTTAAATCATAATTGTGAATTGTTTTAAAAAAAGATCGACTAGAACAGCTACCCAATTCTCTTTGATCATGTTGAGGACGTTAGATCCCTAAAACTCATTTGGAAAAGGCCCTAATTTTGTAATTTTATTCTAAAAATTCGAATTTTATGTTTTCGTGACAAGAGACACTTAGTCGACTTACAGCTTACATTTCCCACTTGGAAATCCTTGGCTGTCATTGGTTGACGGATTTTTTTAGTACGCTATTTTGTGGCTCTCCTAAACGCGTTTTTATCATTGTATAATTAGACGTGATTTGTGCGCTTAGTGACCTCGTATTTTCTGGATGCTTGTAGAATACATTCTCTACGCCTCATCAAGACTTCTTGATTTAGTTAGCAAGGCTGGGGACAACGGATTAGATTGGTCTATCGTATCACTGTATCTTTAACCTTCGTTCCGTTTACCAAGTAAGGTGAACTCATAGTAGCATTCAAGCATATCATATGACGACGGGAATGGTATAGAAGCATGAATCCTTCTAAACTTGAATTATTACTTGAGCTGTTTGATCACATACGCTTTTTCTACTCAGATCAATTTCTGTGAAAAAAAACTACCCCAACATGGTACCTCTTTACAAAACTTATATCCCATGTTTGAAAAAAAATTCACTTAGGTTTTCTTTGAAATAAGTTTGAATTCAGTTTTCTGACGGTTAATTATCATTAAGGTAAATTGATAAATGAAAATAGGTGAAACTATGACTTATGGACGACCTTTGAGCGACGACGCTAAACTGACCTTGACAGTGTTCACCTAATAACTAGGACTAAATGAGGATTATAAATCTGCATAAGGGTTTATCTCACGAATTAAATATAGGATATAATGCCAAAACTCTATTTATCCAAATATGGATGAGTGAATTTCGCGCCAAAATGTAAGACCTATTATATCTATTATCTTAAATCTGATTGGTTCGTTATAGTCTTGCCTGAAGATAAACGAATTATTTGGGTTATTTTTGTGTGTTTTATTTTTTGTTGATCTTACTTCAGGTTGATCCAAAAGGGAAAATTTTAATTGTTGGCCATCAAGATGGTGTATTACGTTTAATCAAATTTGGTGAAAATTCAGAAGAATTAATAAAACGTACAAAACAACAATATGCTTTATTAGATCTTGGACAAGTACTTAAACCGCATACATTAGCAATTACATCAATGATTTATAGTCCATCAGGGAAATTATTTATAACCGGAGTAAATATCTCAATTTTTTTAAATTTTTTTTTCAAGAAAAAATGTATTTCTTTATGTATTGTTATAACTTGTGACCGCCGATTAGAGGACAGTGACTTATCGATCGGACAGAGGACGGGTAAAACACGTGCGAGCAGCCTAGACTCCTGATTGGTCCTGCTTCCCACCTAGCCCAGCCAGTTAAGTCCAGAACACCAGTCTCAGCCTCTGCAATATGAATCCTTATATTTCAAACATACTCTGTTTATATACTCATCAAACAGACCACAACGTACCAATAAAATATGAAATAACATTTGTATAAAAATTAGCCAGATGTGACTGTGAATGAGGGAGGTAGTAATTAATAGACAGGGCATAACTCAGGAAAGGTAAATCGTAGAATAATAGTTCATAGATCAAAATAAAGCTTATAATAAGAGGAACATGAATATGAATAGCTTAGTTACTTAATAATCATACAATAGAAATATAGGTTTAGTATTAGTCCATCAATAGATCCCAAAATACCATTCATTATGTTCCTCAGGTCCTAACATGTATATACTTAACAGTAGAATGTTTTATGGAAATTCCAACTGAATTATAAAGAGAATAGAAAAAGAAAAAATTGTTTAAATTTATGAATATGTGGTGTATGCTACTTATATCGACATAAGTAGTATTACTTACATACTTACGCCTGTTACTCCCAATGGAGCATAGGCCGCTGACCAGCATTCTCCAACCCACTCTGTCCTGGGCCTTCTTTTCTAGTTCCATCCAATTCTTGTTCATTTTTCTCATGTCTATTTCCATTTCTCGGCGTAATGTGTTCTTTGGTCTTCCTCTTTTCCTTTGGCCTTCAGGATTCCATGTGAGGGCTTGTCTTGTGACGCAGTTGGGTGCTTTCCTCAATGTGTGTCCTATCCACTTCCAGCGCTTCTTCCTGATTTCTTCCTCCGCTGGGATCTGGTTTGTTCTCTCCCACAGTACGTTGTTGCTAATAGTGTCCGGCCAACGGATCTGAAGTATTTTGCGTAGACAACTGTTAATAAACACCTGTATTTTCTGGATGATGGCTTTCGTAGTTCTCCAGGTTTCTGCCCCATACAGTAGAACTGTCTTGACATTTGTATTGAAAATCCTGACCTTGGTGTTGGTTGACAGTTGCTTTGAGTTCCAGATGTTCCTCAGTTGTAAATATGCTGCTCTTGCTTTGCCGATCCGCGCCTTCACATCTGCATCAGATCCACCCTGTTCATCAATGATGCTGCCCAAATATGTAAAGGTTTTTACATCTTCCAAATCTTCTCCGTCAATTGTGATTGGATTGGTGCATTCTGTGTTGTATCGGAGAATCCTGCTTTTCCCTTTGTGTATATTGAGACCTACTGCTGCTGAGGCTGCTGCCACACTGTTCGTCTTCTCCTGCATCTGTTGTTGCGTTTGGGATAGAAGGGCCAGATCGTCTGCGAAGTCTAGATCATCCAACTGCATCTTAGATGTCCATTGTATCCCGCGCTTCCCTTCAGACGTTGACGTCTTCATGATCCAGTCGATCACCAGGAGAAAGAGAAAGGGTGAGAGTAAGCAACCTTGCCTAACACCGGTCTTCACTTCGAACGACTTTGTCAACTGTCCTCCATGCACAATTTTGCAGTGTAATCCATCATATGAGTTCTGTATGATATTGACTATCTTCTGAGGCACGCCGTAGTGTCGAAGAAGTTTCCATAGTGTTGTTCTGTCCACGCTATCAAATGCCTTTTCGTAGTCAATGAAGTTGATGTAGAGTGATGAATTCCATTCAATTGATTGTTCCACAATGATCCGTAGAGTTGCGATTTGGTCTGTACACGATCTATCCTTACGGAATCCTGCCTGTTGGTCACGAAGTTGGGCGTCTACGCAGTCCTTCATCCTGTTTAACAATACCCTGTTGAAGACTTTTCCCGGTATTGAGAGAAGAGTGATGCCCCTGTAGTTATCACAGTTGCTGAGATCGCCTTTCTTCGGTATTTTGATCAGAAGTCCTTCTTTCCAGTCTGTTGGTACTTGTTCCTCATCCCAAATCTTATTGAAGAGAATGTGGAGTATCCTTGCAGTTGCCGCTACGTCTGCTTTTAGTGCCTCTGCTGGGATGTTGTCCGGTCCTGCTGCTTTGCCACTCTTGATTTGTCTGATGGCCATGCTGATTTCTTCAATTGTTGGTGGGCCAACATTGATTGGGAGGTCCGTGGGTGCTGCTTCGATGTTGGGTGGGTTCAGTGGAGCTGGTCGATTCAAGAGTTCTTTGAAGTGTTCTACCCACCTGTTTTGTTGCTCTTCAATGTTGGTGATTACCTTGCCTTCCTTGCTTTTCACTGGTCGTTCTGGTTTGCGGCGATTTCCAGAGAGTTTCTTTGTCGTGTCATACAATTGTCTCATGTTTCCTTCTCTTGCAGCCTTTTCCGCCGTCGTTGCTAAATCTTCCACATATTTACGTTTGTCGGTTCTGATGCTCCTCTTCACTTGTTTGTTTATTTCCGTGTATTCAGCTTGTGCCTTGGCTTTTTCTGCTCTTGTTCGACTGGTATTGATTGCTGCCTTCTTGTTCCTTCTTTCTTGAATCTTATCCAGTGTATCAACAGTGATCCATTCCTTGTGGTGGTGCTTCTTGTGACCCAGGACCTCATGACATGTTGAAGTGATTGCCTCTTTGATCCCCTTCCAGTTGCTCTCCACAGTAGTTCCTTCTCCATTGAGTAGATCATGAAAGGCCTGGAACTTGTTGCTGAGGACTATCTTGAATTTGTTGAGTTTGTTAGTATCCTGAAGAAAGGCCGTATTGAACTTTTGTGATATTGTCCGCCCCGTTGTCCAGTGCTTCTTGAGTTTCAATTTCATCTTGGCGACCAGCAAGTGATGATCTGATGCTATATCAGCTCCTCTCTTGGTTCTCACGTCCTCTATAGTCCTCCTGAACGTTTTGTTGATGCAAATATGGTCGATTTGGTTTTGTGTAGAGTGATCCGGTGAAGTCCATGTGGTTTTGTGTATGCGTTTATGTGGGAATATGGTGCCGCCTATGACCAGCTTATTGAAGGCACATAGATTTGCAAATCTCTCACCATTTTCGTTTCTTTCTCCCAGTCCGTGTCGTCCCATGATGTCTTCATATCCAGTGTTGTCCGTTCCAACCTTGGCGTTGAAATCTCCCATCAGAATGGTCAGGTCCTTTGTTGGGCACTTCTCGACGATTGACTGCAGCCTATTGTAGAATTGATCTTTAGCGTCTTCATTGTAGTCGTTGGTAGGCGCATAGCATTGGATGATGTTCATTGAAATGCCCTCTTTCTTTGTTTTGAACGAGGCTTTGATGATCCTTGGTCCATGAGATTCCCATCCTATAAGTGCATTTTGCGCTTGTTTGGACAGCATCAATGCAACTCCTTGTGTATGTGGTGCATTTTCTTCTTCATGGCCGGAGTATAACAGGAGCTCTCCTGTAGTTAGTCGTTGTTGTCCAACTTGTGTCCAATGTGTTTCACTGATCCCAAGTACCTCTAGGTTGTATCTTCTCATTTCTGCAGCAATTTGGAAGGCTCTTCCGGTGTCCCACATTGTACGAACATTCCATGTACCTAAATAAATGGTTGCTCTGGTTGTCAGAAGGGGCATCGGCCTCGTAACTTCCGAAGGAATTCGGCTTTCATCATGAGGCGTCATAATTCTTCTAAATGAAGACCTTCTGACTCCCAGGGCAGAGTTTAAAAGGTTTGAATAATTTTTTCTGGTTAGCGTTTTTTTAGCGAGTTAGTTTTCTACGGGATGGGGACGCTAACCCCATGCCCAACCCTCCTCCTTTATCCGGGCTTGGGACCGGCAGTAGCCCCCGGAGGGACTCCAGGCGGAGTTGACATAAGTAGTATATAACACATCAATTCAGAAAGGTTGAGAAGAACAAATCGAAAAGAATGGGAATAGTGAGTAATTGTTATAGAAATGAAAGAACAATGAAGTTTGAGACAATTGATGGATCATCTGAAAATGAACCTATTGGACGTATGTTTTTTATTTATTTATTTATTTATTTAAACACAAACATTGATACAAGGATGCGGCAAATGGATGTGCTCCACACAAGTTACTTGATTTGTGTGAGGGCTGTGATACTGCCCAGGTGGTTTCCTTGGGGGGCTGTGACATAAAGGTCTGATCCACAAGGCAGTGGAGCAACGTCATAAGATGCAGTCCCATGATAGCCGGCGACTGATGATTGGTTCATACGCCATTTGTTCCCTCAACATCCTGGAGCCCATGTGCACCACTGGCTTGGAATTAGGGTTTTCCAAATCCCCTAAGTGGATCCTCCGTACACACTGATCCGGTTAAAGCGACGAACATTCGCTTTCCGTCCTTTTAATTTCATAAACAACACTCCCATCATAAGAAGTCAGTGAGTAAGAATTCCCTGTCAGTGGTTGTATGCACGTGGCCATTTGGGAGCATTTCGAGAGAGAGCCGCCTCTCCTCAGTGTCAGCCGCACCAGGGCATTCGAGGGTATGGTTTTTACATTCTACCAAAGTGTTGAAGTCTAAATCTTTACGAATAAATAACTTGACAGTGAATAAAAATGTACATCTAAAATAAATTTTACAACACGAGACAAATAATCAAAATTTTTGAGCAAAACATTTTATTTTATAGTCATCAGTTTTGAAATTGATCGAGAGCTTGGAAGCACTGGATGGCCACTTCTTCCTCAAACTAAGGAACTCAAGTTTCGTGCGCGAACTCCAAATCTCTATACCACTATGACGGCATCCAATGGCATCAATATCTAGCTTCATTCAATCCACGATCTTTTACAACCCTTCACTCATTGACTGCGATATATATATTCGTCTCATACCCGGCACGGATTGGACTACCCTAGTCACGGCTTCTCAATAGAACTCTAGGAGTTACATCCTGAAGCTAATCACATGATTATTATCAGATTAGGGATTTGTGTATCTAAGCTAGACCACCATTGAAAGCCTTTAGGCATTTGGACGTCAAGATCGTGGATACATACTGCTGAAAAGTCCCATTCTAGACCGAGACGACCATCTAATCCTTTCAGATTTTCAATGATAGTCGACTCATGGTTTCAACTGTATAGATAGTAATGTGTTTGACGTTATATTATATTGAAAATTCTAACTGACTCTTATTGGTCTGGGTTTTTTTTCTTTCTTTTTCTCTTTAGAGTAAAGATGAAACTGTTTTCTTTTTTAATGTACATACTACTCATTTATCACCTATTGGTTTTATTCATGTTCATGGAAAAGTTGTAAGACTAGAATGGTTTTCTATGAATAATAAAGAAATGAATGAAATTATTGTTTATTTAGAAAATGGTTGTGTATTAACTGTAAGTTTAATTATGAATTATATACTTAACTTAGTTATTATGTGATATTTATTGATCAATCAAGATACGTCTTATTCAATCTTAGTACTGTGCCAAACCAATGACATTCGATCGGTATGAGCAGCCTAACGTGCTTGTTGGTCCCCTGCCAGTTGGGTTCAGAGAAAACCATTAACGAATCATTTATTTCAACCATACTTGGTTTATATACCAGCCGAATAGATCACATCACACCATGAAATAGGAAATAACATACATAAAAGATCAAGCCATAAAAGTGGCTGTGATTGACGGAGACGGTAATTATTGAACTTAGTAAAATTTATTTACTTACTCACTTACGCCTGTTACTCCCAATGGAGCATAGACCGCCGATCAGTATTCTCCAACCCACTCTATCCTAGGCCTTCTTTTGTTGTTCCATCCAATTTTCGTTCATTCTTCTCATGTCTGTCTTCATTTCTCAGTGCAATATTTTCTTTGTTCTTTTTCTGGTTAGCATTTTTTTTAACGAATTAGTTTTCTACAGGATGGGGTCGCTAACCCCATGCCCAACCCTCCTACTTCACCCGGGCCTGGGACCGGCAGTAGCCCAGAGGGGCTCCAGTCGGAGTTTAAGTATAATTTAAGAATAGTAAATCGTATCATAATAGTCTGTAGGTCAAATGGAAACATATAATGAGAAGAATATAGATATACATAATCGAGTTACTGAATAGTTATACAATAAGAATATATGTTGTATAGCATTAGTTCATGAATAGTTCTCAGAAGTTACTTTTTACTTAACATTTGAACGAACACAATAGGCAGGTAATTTTTGAGAAAAAGTAATGAAGAAACAATTTATCTATAGTTCAATAGTTGAGATCATGAGTCAATTGAAGCTGGATCACTATGGAAAATCTGGAAGCACTGGATGGCCATTTCGTCCTATTATGGAACTCATCAGCAGTCCTCATCCACGACCCTGCTCTCTGATTCCGAACCCAGAACTTTCGGTCCCACGTGCGAACACTAAACCTTTAGACCAATGAGCTTGTATCCAACGGTGTTAATGTCCAATACTAAGACAAAACGGTCGGCCAGTGCTTCCAGATTTTCAATAGTGGTCCAATATCAATCAATTCATGATCTCAATTTAAAAGAATTTAGAAATCGCCATTTCAGGTCAACATTCATTAGTATAAAAATTTTTGGTGAGACTATAATTTATGAACGACCTTTAAGCAACGCTAGTGTGACATTGAGAATGTCCACTTCCTTACTAGGGCTAAATGGAGGTTATAAACAAGTGTGAAGAATAAGGATCATGATTTATAGTTGATGGTTAAGGTTAGGAATTAGATTTAAGGCTTTTCATTACGAACTGACATCAGCTAGAATTCCTAAACGCTATATATTCAAACGAATCAACAGTTGTCCTAAGTCTGATTGATTCATCCATAACTCATAGTCTCTCCATCGTATGTTATTGATACAATCCATTTTTATGATCACATTAACACAATCCGATCATTATCATTTTTTATTAATTTGAATTCTTATCAAATTTACTTCACTTCTAGGTACAATGCCCATCAGAAAAGGAAAAATATGATCATTCTAAAACATTTGCATTGTCTAATATTAAAATAACTAAATCCTATCAATTCATGAGTATCAAATCACGTTTAGATCATGAAGAATATACAATGAATAAATTAGCACAATATGAAAAAGAAAAACAGAATAGACTAGAAATTCGACATATGAATGCAAGATTACAACCGGAAACTGATGAAGATAAACAAAAATTCGATACTGGTAAATGTTGAACTTTAAGATTACTTATCTATTTCTAAGAATACATATAAATGTTATTCTGAATGGAGCATAGGCCGCCGATCAGCATTCTCCAATCAACTATATCCTAGGCCTTCCTTTCGAGTTCCCTCCAATTTCCGTTCATTCTTCTCATATCTGTCTCTATTTCTCGTTGTAATGTGTTCTTTGTTCTCCTTCTTTCCCTTTGACCTTGAGAAATTCAAGTGAGGACTTGTGACACAGTTCAGTGGTTTCCTCAATGTGTGTCCTACCGACTTCCAGCACTTCTTCCTGACTTCTCCCTCCACTGAAATATGGTCTGTTCTCTCACACAGTAGATTGGTGATGATAGTGTCTGGCCAACGGATTCGAAGTATTTTGTGTAGACAACTGTTAATAAACACCTGTATCTTCTGGATGATAGAGTCCGTAGTTCTCCAAGTTTCCGTCTCACACAGTAGAACTGTCTTGACATTCGTATTGAAAATCCTGACTTTGGCGTTGATTGACAGTTGTTCCGAGTTCCAGATGCCCTTCAGTTGTAGATATTCTGCTCTTGCTTTCCCAATCTGCGCCCTCACATCTACATCACATCCACCGTGTTCACCAATGATGCTGCCCAGATATGTAAAGGCTTTTACATCTTCCAAATCTTCTCCGTCAATTGTGATTCGATTGTTGCATTCTGTGTTGTATCGGAGAATCTTGGTTTTCCCTTTGTGTATGTTGAGACCTATTGCTACTGAGGCTGCTGATACACTGGTCGTCTTTTCCTGTATCTGTTGTTACGTATGCGGTAGAGCAGACAGATCACCTACGAAGTGTAGATCGTCCAGCTGCATCCTGGATGTCCACTGTATCCCGCGTTTCCCTTCAGATGTTGATGTCTTCATCGTGCAGTCGATCAGCAGGAGAAAGAGAAAGGTTGAGAGTAAGCAACCTTGCCTAACACCGATCTTTACTTCGAACGAGTCTATGGGCTGTCGTCCATGTATGATTTTACAGTTTAATCCATCATAGGAATTCCGTATGATATTGACTATCTTCTGAGGCACGTCGTAGTGTCGAAGAAGCCTCCATAGTGTTGTCCTGTCTACTCTATCAAATGTTTTCTCGTAGTCAATGAAGTTGACGTAGAATGATGAATTCCATTCAAGTTATTATTATTAACATTTTTTCTGTTCGATATTTTCAATTTACCTCAGTCTAACTTCATTTGAGTTATCATAGATGATGAAAGATATTGAGTGAATAGTAATATTCAAATATAGAATACAATGGAACACAGCACAGAACGAACTTTACATCTGAATAGACGAAATAAAAACTTCCTTTCTTCACATTAAGAAATGCGTGGGTGAAGAATAGGGTATTAAGTAAGCATGGGAATTTGATTGGTGAAGAAGTAAACCTTCATCAATTGAGGTAGCTGGGGTAGGCGTTACGTATGTCCAACTACCTCGACTGGTGATGTATTCTGGTGTAGGAGTAGGCCGGAAGAAAGGTGGGGGCAGACGAACCAAAAATATAGCATCACTCCATGTAGTCATGGATAGTTGGGCTAATCCATGTTAATGGGGGTAGACAACCTGGTTGTGGTCGGGGTGATTATCGTAGCCAATGGTTAGAGGCTTCAAAAGTCATGGCTAGAAATCGTTGCCAATTCCACAAGTGCATCCATTTCTTCAATCACTGATACTGTTAATACCTCTACTATTTTGGGATTTGTCCTGACAATTTCATCTGTCTTTACTCATGGGTTCTGGCAACCTGGAACGATGTACCAGGTTCTACGTTGTGACTGACTGGATTGAATTCAAGTCTCACTACAAAAACATTTTAATTTAACCCACTGACCAAATAGTAATGTATTTTTTTGGTTCTGCTTGCACGACTGATTTTTGTATCTTCCTTATTTGTTTCCTTCCGTAAGTTTGTAGTGGCTGTGCTTCGATAAATAATCACCCTCGAACCGTTATCATATAATCTTCAACGGTGTTTGAAATCAGAAGGTAAAAAGAAGCAGCTACTACAGTTTATTTAGTAGATAATTCGGACCACACAGCAGAGAGGCAAAACGAATGAGCAAGAGAACTACGATTGTAGCAGTAGCAGTAGCAGTAGCAGTAATAGTAGTAGTAGCAGTAGTAGTGGTAGTAGTAGTTAGCGTAAATGTACATATATATATATATATATATATATATATATATATATATATATATATATATATATATATATATATATATATATATATATAGGGAAATGGATGATTCAACGAATAGATTGAGCAGTTAATAATGAAGTTGGCAGAATGAATATCTGCGTAGGCGGTAAACAATGTTCGTTCACACATATTGCATGTAAGAACAATAATAATAAAAGTACAAGTTGTTATAGTGCGGATGACTTTGTCCGCTAAATAAGTTAGCAAAAGGGCTTAACTGAATTAGATGAGAATAAACTCAATTGCACGTGAGTCGCTATAAGTTAATTACACTACTTATTAATAAGCAGAGATGGATGATGGCTAGCAGTAAAGTCATAAAGTGAATGTCAACACTGGGATGCAGGCAGATCCAGCTAACGAGTTCCAAATAGGATGAGATACGAATCCTGGATTCAACTACTAGTCACTATCCATCTCTGCTTAAAATGCCTTTTACTAAAAACAATATCGAGGCAATCCTCACAGGACTCACATATGTCAATAAGAGACTGGTCAACTGCAATCGTAAACATTAATGGAAAATTTCAAACGACCAATATAATAATGAATCAGCAACAAGCTCCATTTCCGATCATTTTGAGGATATGATGTATGACACCACTACTGTTTTGTTGGATTAATATCGTAATTTCAGATTTTCAATACATCTAACAGTTACTTTATATTTTCATATATTCATTATACCAGTATTTAATGGTAACAGTTCCCATACTTTTTGTGTTACTAGTACCAGAGTCGAGTGTTCTTTGTTATGATGCTTTTGGATATAGTTATTATTTGCAAAGATGAGTAGTGGCTTGCGCTGGAATCCAGGACGCGCGTTTCGTCATATTTGGGACTTGTCAGTGTGTTCTTCGGTGTTCCTCCTTCGGTTTCCCTTCACGATTCCAAGTTAGGGCTTGCCTCGTAATGCAGTTTAGGGATTTCCGTAATGTATGGTCCAATCCACTTCCAACGTCTTTTCCTAATTTCTTCTTCAGATGGAAGCTGGTTTGTTCTCTCCCACGAAAGGCTGTTGCTGATGGTATCCGGTCAACGGATATTGAGTATTTTGCGTAGACAACTATTTATAAATACTTGTACATGTTTGATGATGGTTGTATTAGTTCTCGAAGTTTCAACTCCATACATTAAGACTGTCCTGACGTTCGAATTGAGGATTGTCACTTTGGCACTGGTTGTCAGACAGTCTTTTCTTTGCCAATCCTCACCTTCACGTATGCATCTGATCCTTCCTTGTTTTCCAGAGTCACTCGGTAGTTTTGGTTAAACGTTTCAATAGAATCAATTTAAAAAAAATTAAAACCTCTTTTTGTTCTTGTAGTTATGAAGTTGATCAATAAAATTATAATGAAATCTTAAGGTCGAGTGATCATATTTGATCATTTTGACAGTTTGTTTATCAATGAAGACTTATTTCATCAAGATGACAATGAATTAAAACAATCCATTCAATTTTTATCAAACTTCCAAACGAATTATTGTGAGGACGGCCCACGGGTGAGCTCGAAGAAGCTCTAGGATGTTCAGAAAGAGCCGAAGATATTCTATCCAATCATCTTTTGGAAGAACATTCCAGAATCTCGACGCGTAACTTCCCTATTAAACAAATACTAATAACCCCCTGTATGCGGATTTGAGGACTATGATGATGATTTCATTTTTACTGAAAAAACGATAAATACCTGACAGTTTTATACCTTAATTGACACTGTTTGGGATAGCATTTCTTTCCCTTGTCTTCTGTCTTCTCATTTGCAACTTGGTTGGTTCTAGCATTCGAGTTGTTCAAGTTATACGCGATATAATAAGAATCTAAGCTCTAGATATAACAATTATGATCAATTTTGTATTGATGGTAATAGGATCATTTTAATTATTCATAAGTAATATATTTGTGATATGGATACTTAATTGTAAAACTTCTGATGTTTCCATTATTATGACTATCATAGATTTCAATGGTTGAAGTCATGAGTCAATTGAAGCCAGATCACCATGGAAAACCTGGAAGCACTGGACGGCCGTTTCGTCCTAATACGGGACTCCTCGGCAGTGCGCATTCACGATCCCACCCCCCGCGTGAGTCGAACCCAGGATCTATCAGTCTCGAGCGCGAGCGCTCAACTACTCGACCACTGAGCCGGCCGGTATCCAATGGTGTTAATGTCTAACTTCAACTAATCCATGAAATTGAGCCACCGTCCACGATTTTCTTCAGTAACATACAGTCTCACAATAGACCAGAACGAGACGGCTGCTCAGTGATTCTAGGTTTTCCATGATGATCTAGCGTCAATTGACTCATGATTTCAACTATTGAAATTTCTAAAAATCTCCACGAAACCCCTTCTGATATTATATATTTATTATGTTTCTTTTAGCCGAGGAGGTTATTTATCAAGGTGTACTGTCTGAAATTGCTAATTGGACACCTTCTTATCCATCAAATCCATCACCATTACTTTATGGATGTTTGGATAAAAACGAACCAAATCAATTTTGGGTATCTCTAGTAAGTTTTTTAAATTATAAATGTTACATGGTCGCGGTTTGACTGTAGCATGATCAAACTGTTAGTTCTATAAAGAAAATATACAACTTACATATGTTGTACGTGTTCTGTAAACAAATCCATTTAATAAGAACGCGGATAAAAGAAAGTCGAATACGACTACTTTGAATGTTGATATTTCATGCATATTCACTTTGGCGGATAAACGATGAACGGGGAACGTAAAAGTCTATCGCAAGTGTACTCAAAATATTAGTCGTTATAATCCTTGATATTATTCAGAGTTGATAATGAATAGTGCAACATGGTTATTTGCATCCAATCAAATAATAATAGTACAGATATAATCATAGGTATAGATGAATATAGGACATGAATATAAGAGGTTTATGCAATGAAGGTTACAATCCCGTGTCAAAAGAATTAGGTTATTCTTTTGATTTAATAGTCATATGAGGAGTTATTAAAAAGCCTATCCAAAAGTCTGTATCAATCAGACAGATGTGTAATAACATAGAAACTGTTACAAATGAATCTGTAACGATTGAAGTTGTCTATCTAAGTGTTATAACTCTCTCATATTACAACCAAGCTATTCCTATTGCTTAGTGTTCTTGGGCACTAATTCACTCGACAAGTCCCTGAACCAGAAATTGTGTTGCGATAACAAGGGTAAATGGAAGTAAGAAGCACAATAAGAAAAAACTTTAGTAAATTCATAGTTTTTTTTACATGAGAAGATTCTAGAGTCTTCTCTAAGTATCGACTAGCACTGATTGGATAAGAATTAGCCAATCAGCGTGCACCAACGGAATAGTGAATGGAATATGCTTTGATCTAATCTATATTCCGCTAACACTAAGTGAACTCATACAGATTAATCGTTGAATTAACTATGATACAAACTATTCACATAATAAACAATATATTCAAAGTCACACTCCGAATATTAGTGTGTAGCTTATTGATGATTGATTTCGAGCTCTAAGGAGAATCTTTGATCTGTATAGTTCAACTAAGCTAAAAGTGACATAGCTATTACTGATAACTAACAGTGGCTTAGTATTCCAGGTTAACAGAAATCGGAAATACAGACAGTAAGATTCCAGTTGACTTATCTACCAATAAAATCCTTACCATGTAATCTAAAGCTCTTTATCTGTACATTTACTGTGGTTGTGAATATGTACTGTTAATGAGTTTCATAATAGGATGAAACAGTTTTCCAGTAATTCTAGGCTTACTTACTTACTTACTTACTTACACCTGTTATCACTCGTGGAGGGTTCAATGGCTATATCTTAAAAGTGTGTTTGTTACAATATATGACAAATTGAATTTATACACTGTAATGTGAAACTGAACTGTTTTTTATCTCGAAGGAAAATGATCAAGAGTCAATCATCGAAGTGAAGATACTAAAGTGCGCTTGAAAGCAAATTCATATAATGATGACAATCTTAAATCATCACAAATCGAAAGATACGTTTATAAGTTTAGCTATTTTTGAACTCACTAATTGCATAATCGGTAGACAAACCAATGGAATTAAGGATAGCAAGTCTTGGATTTAGGTGTGAAATTTATTCATCTACATAGTCAAACGACATTTTAGGATTATAGCTGATACTGATTAGTGATGAAAACCTTAAATTTTAATTATAAATCTGAATCCCTCAATTAATTCTTTTTGACACTGGAGAGTAGGTGAATTGTCTCTTTTATTTATTTATTCAAATACATGAACATCGGTACAAGGAGACACCAAATAGATGTGCACCACATAAATCATTCGATTTGTGTGACAGCAGTGATACTTTCCGAGTTCCCAAATCGAAGCAAGTAGTTTTCTAAGGGAGACACAGTTAGAGCCTTTGACCTAAAGGTATAATCCACAAAGCAGTGGAGCAACGTCACAAGATGCAGTCCCATAGTAAACAGTGACCGACAATAGGTTCATACGCCATTTGTTTCCTGAGGATCCTGGAGCCTATGTGTACCATTGGTTTTGAATCGGGATTTTCCAACTCTTCTAGGTGGACTGTTCATGTCTACCAACCCTGTTAAAGGGTCAAAGATTCGCTCGTTGTCCTCTCAATTTCGTAAACAACACCCATAGCATCAGAAGGCAGTAAATAGGACTTCTCTGGTGTTAGAAAAGCAGGACCAATCAGAACTCTAGGCTGCTCGCACGTGTTTTACGCGTCTTTGATGCGATCGATAATTTGCTGCTTCTGATTGGCGGCTTTGGGCTATAACACCTGGCATTGGTTGTATGCACGTGACCTTTTGAGAGGATTTCGAGAGAGGGAGAGCTGCCTCTCCTTACTCTCGGCCGTACCAAAGCATTTAGGGGTCACTTTAGCGTCGCTAAAGATCATCTATCATTTCTATTCATATCTAAGTGATTTATATTTTCAAAGAAGATATTACATTTTGAAGTTTATTATTAATAAATCAATGATAATAATAATTTCTGATTGTTACTTTCTGAATTTTAGGATGATTTCGATAAAGGATATTTATATAAATGTGAATTAGGTGGTCCATTATTAACTATTGATGATACCATTGAAAAACTACGTAAAACAAATAAACAAACAGAAGAACAAAATCAATTAAATGATTTAGTTACCAAGGTAACAAATTTAGAACAATCCCAAGATGATAATACAATAATCAATAATGAGAAAATCAATGATCTAGAAATGATTGATCCAAATGATATTACATTATTAGATCGAATTCATGCAATTGAACCAAATAAAGCAATTTGTATATTAAATAAAAAAGATACATCTATTACATATTGGACATTTTGTAATTCAGGTTATCGTTTATTGATTGGTTTCAATGATGGTACAATATGTATACAATTATTAGATAAACCATTTGATTTAACAAAATTTAAAGGATATTGGATGTATCGTTTACATGATAATGAACGTGGACGTGTCAATCGTATAGCGCTTACATATGATGAAAAGTATGTTTCCTTTGATGAAATTATAGCATTGTTACATTACATATTTGTTTATTTACTTACGCCTGTTATTTGCAATGAAGCATAAAATGCCGACCAGCATTCTCCGACTTCAAGACTACTTATCTATTTCTAAGAATAAATATAAATGTTACTCTAAATGGAGCATAGGCCGCCGATCAGCATTCTACAACCCACTCTGTCCTAGGCTTTCCTTTCCAGTTCTATCCAGTGATTGTTCATTCTTCTCATATCTGTCTCCGTTTCTCGTTGTAATGTGTTCTTTGGTCTTCCTCTTTTCCTTTGACATTGAGAATTCCATGTGAGGGCTTGCCTTGTGAAGCAGTTCAGTGATTTCCTCAATGTGTATCCTATCCACTCCCTGCACTTCTTCCTGATTTCTCCCTCCACTGGAATATGGTCTGTTCTCTACCACAATAGATTGGTGATGATAGTGTCTGGTCAACGGATTCGAAGTATTTTACCTAGACAACTGTTAATAAACACTTGTATCTTGTGGATGATAGAGTCCGTAGTTCTCCAAGTTTCCGTCTCACACAGTAGAACTCTCTTGACATTCGTATTGAAAATCCTGACTTTGGCGTTGATTGACAGTTGTTCCGAGTTCCAGATGCCCTTCAGTTGTAGATATTCTGCTCTTGCTTTCCCAATCTGCGCCCTCACATCTACATCACATCCACCGTGTTCACCAATGATGCTGCCCAGATATGTAAAGGCTTTTACATCTTCCAAATCTTCTCCGTCAAGTGTGATTCGACTGTTGCATTCTGTGTTGTATCGGAGAATCTTGCTTTTCCCTTTGTGTATGTTGAGACCTATTGCTGGTGAGGCTGCTGATACACTGGTCGTCTTCTCCTGTATCTGTTGTTACGTGTGCGATAGAAGATCCAGATCATTTGTGAAGTTGAGGTCGTCCAGCTGCATCCTAGCTGTCCATTGCATCCCATGCTTCCTTCTAGATGTTTATGTCTTCATGGTCGAGTCGATCACCAGGAGAAAGAGAAAGGGTGAGAGTAAGCAACCTTGCCTAACACAGATCTTTACTTCGAATGAGTCTGTGAGCTGTCATCCATGTATGATTTTGCAGTTTAATCCATCATAGGAATTCCGTATGATATTGACTATCTTCTGAGGCACGCCGTAGTGTCGAAGAAGCCTCCACAGTGTTGTCCTGTCTACTCTATCAAATTCTTTCTGGTAGTCAATGGATTTCATCCAATTGATTGTTCCACAATGACCCGTAGAGGTGTGGTTTAGTCTGTGCACGATGGATCCGTACGGGATACAGCGTGTTCATCTCGAAGTTAGGCGTCTACGAAGTACTTCATTCTATCTAACTTTACCCTGTTGAAGACTTTTCCTGGTATTGAGAGAAGAGTGATGCGCTTGTAGTTATCACAGTTGCTGAGATCGCCTTTCCTTTATATTTTGATCAGGTACTCTTCTTTCTAATCTGTTGGTACTTGTTCAATTATTAAGATTATTCTCATTAATATTATTAACATTATGATCATTATTATTGTGATCAATATTATTATGGTTATTATTATTATTATAGTGAAAAAACATTTTCCTTTCTAATTAGGTAGTCATTAGACATGATAAGTTTCAGATGTGACACAAATTTCCATTTCTCTATACTACATTAGCACAATGACATGAAATTAACAATGAATAGCAAACGGGTTGAAAGTTATAATTTAGATGCCCTGGTACGGCCAAGATTGGAGAGAGGCAGCTCTCCCTCTCTCGAAATCCTCTTAAACGGCCACGTGCATACAACCACTAACAGGGAGGTCCTACTCACTATCTTATGGTGCTAAAGGTGTTTTTTACGAAATCGAGAGGTGAAAGAGCGAATTTCCGACGCTTTACCCGGGTTGGTGGGCACGGTGAGTCTACCTAGGAGAGTTGGAAAACCCTGATTCAAAACCAATGGTACACATAGGCTACAGGATCCTAAGGAAAAAAAAGGCGTATGAACCTATTGTTGATCACCGGTTACCAGGGGACTGCATCTTGTGACGTTGCTCCTCTGTCTTGTGGATTAGACCCTTAGGTCAAAGGCTCCAACTGTGTCTCTCTAAGAAAACCACCTGCTTTGATTCGGACACTCGTAAAGTATCACTGCCGTCATACAAATCGAATAATTTATGTGGCGCACATCTATTTGGTGTCTCCTTGTATCGATGTTCATGTGTTTAAACAAATAATATGATTCAGATAAAGATATAGAATGAATATATCTTCACCACTATAATCGTTTATCATCCAAATAGTTTACACCTATCCACATAAATTAGAAGAACAGTCAGTGACTTAGTGGGCTGGTACTATGTACTTTATTGTTCAACTTTACCTTTCTTTCTTCTTATTACTACATCATTTAGTAAATTTAATTTCATAGCTGTACAATTGTAAATGCATAGTGGAAATTAATGAAATAATAAGCGATCAAAGTTCATCAGATGATGGAAATATGTATATGAGCTAATACTATACTATCAAAAATAAACATTGAATGAATACAAACATCTCGGTTCTAAAAGAGTTCAGCCAGTCTGAATAATTCTATGATAAAGCTTATTCCTGTAACATTGGGTAACATGGAATCAAATCCTTCAGGGAAATTATATTCTTTTTAGAAAGAGAATGTCTTGATAGCTATACCCAAATAAACACAAAACTTTAGTTCAAGACATTTATTGGTTACCACCATCTATCTAATTATCAAAGACTTTAAACACACATTATGTAACTGTTATGTCACTCGTGGAATTAATAAAACATTTTCTATCTCAGATTTTGTTTCACATTGTTCAGAGGCCTGAATAATTTCGTCGAACAGCTTATGTTATCGTTGTGTAGTGAACGAGAACACAAGTGAGGAAAATCAAATGTATTTGAACGTCATAGTAAAATCAGAGAAACATAAAGTAAATATTTCATTTGTAAAATGTCAATTAATCATCTCAGACTTCATTGCTCATTCGTTTCTATATCAGTCATTCTCTATTCTCATCCTCTTTTCTTTGATCTTCTTAACCATATGCCGCTAGGCATTTCACTTACGATTGATAATACATACTACTTATATCGATCGACGTTAGTGGCATATGCCACAGTCCAACCAATCGGCATAAACTATTCAATCAATTTTTGTTATGTGTGATTTGTGCTTATATAATGTACATAAAGAATGGCGATATTATAATTTATGGACGAGCCAATTAGAAACGTCTGAAGGATTCCAAGGTCACAACGCCAACTTCAGTGCTTCATGCTAACGTACGATCGGTTCACAGGGAATTTTGTACAAACGTGATAATTGAGCGGCTGTAACAGATAAAACAGCGAGACTATAATTTGTGGATGAACTAATCAGGTATAAGATAACAGATCTCGGGTTTTGGCGCGAAAGCCTTTCATCCATTTGGCTAAATAGATTTCTGGCATTATGTCTGATGTCAGTTCGTGATGAAAACAGGTACGGACGGCCTAGAGTCTCTATTGGTCTCGCTTCCCTGTCTAGCCCAGTCAGTTGAGTCCAGAACACAAGTCACAACCTCTGAGATATGAATCACTATATTTCAAACATACTTTGTTTATATACTAGTCAAGCATACCACATCGTACCATAAAAATAGAAAACAACATTTTGTACAATATTCAACAAGTGAACAGATATCGACCAATAGGAAATGTGCATTTAAAGTCCAAGGACACCATTGGACTTAACATGATAATTATTGGTCTATTCCTCCGCATCCACAACAATTGCGAACTGGATAATAAAAGCACCAGTAACACTGGCTGCACCTAGGTACTACAATATATACGGATGATTGGAGAGCGCATTGAGTCCTACATAGGCTTGGTTATGTCCATCGTGTCGTTATCCACAAATGCGATTTTATGTTCTAAACACCGGAGTGCACACAAACAATATTAAATCTATGTGCTCGAGACTGAAAGAGTTTTTGCGACATTATCATGGCTCTAGAGGCCGACTATTCTGTATCCATTTGGATGATTTCCTCTACTGCATGCATTACAATTTTAGAACCTCTGAACCTCTTTCTAACATTGACAAGTTTTTGAACCACGTATAAGTGTATCCACTTTATTTCCTTGGTTTTGTATAACATCTTTTTACTCTATACTTACTGTGTGCTGACTGACCCAAGGTCACTTAAGATTCGTTTAAAGATCATCCATAAATTATAGTCTCGCCAAATAGGGTATTAAGGCTGACAATGATATTCGTTGTCGATTTGTTTTTTGTCAATAGAAGCTCATTTTCATTAACTCAGTAATTCCCCTGAACCATATCGATTGATAGACATTGTAGATAACTGGTATTTACTAAAAGTATAGTATTCAATCGAAATATAAATATTATGCATTCTGAAACTTTGTATATCATCTTATACACTGTCTTATTTTACGTCAGAGATAGCATGAAAATAGTAATACAAGATAGGCTTGATTGTAGATTCAGTGTTTCTCACATCGGTGACAAATTGCTTTCGTTGGTCACTGACTACCATGTGACTGCATCGTGTAACGTTGCTCCACTGCCTTGTGGATCAGACCTTTAGGTTGAAAGCTCTGAGTGTGGTCCCCTAAAAATATACCTTCTTCAGTCTGGGCATCCAGGAAGTATCACAGTCCTCACGCAAATCAAATGACTTGTGTGGCGCATATGTATTCGTTGCCCCTTTGTACCAATATTTATGTGTTCAAATAAATAAAATAACACACTCATGAAGCCAATGTTTTCTTCGATTCAAGCTATGAGTTAGGCTATCAATCCAACGTCTGTTCAAGTTCTTAAATCCCATCAAGATATAATATTTTTTCATTAATTTGTTCTCTGTCATTCATTCTCATTGTCCTAAGTTTCTGGACTTACTGCTAGACAGATAAAAGTATCATATAAGAGCAAATAAGTGCCAGGAAATTGTCATGAATGCTGGATTATATGCTTTTAGCCAGTTAAATCAACAAAGATTTTAAATAGCTATTAAACAATTTAGCTACTGCATCAGTGGGCCTCAACATACACAAGGGAAAAGCAAGATCTTCAAATACAGCACGGAGAACACCAACCCAATCACACTTGACGGAGACACTCTGGAAAATGTGGGATCTTTCACATGCCTGGAAAGCATCACCGATGAACATCGAGGATATGATGCAAACATAAAGGCGAGCATCGGCAAAGCACGGGCCGCATTTATACAATTGAAGAACATATGCAACTCAAAACAAATGTCTGTCAACCAATATAAAAGTTACAATCTTTAATACGAATGTCAACACAGTTCTACTGTATTTAGTTAAGCATGCATAACTACCACAACCATCATCAAAAAGATACAACTGTTTATAAACGATTGTCTACGCTAGATACTCAATATCCGTTGACCGGATACCATCAGCAACAGCCTACTGTGGGAGAAAACAATCCAACTTCCATTCGAAAAGAAAATTAGGAAAAGACGTTGGAGGTGGACAGGACATACATTATGGAAATCATCGAACTGCGTCACGAAGCAATCGCAAACTTGGAATCGTGAAGGGAAGCGGAAATGAGGAAGGCCCAAGAACACACTACATCAAGAGTTGGAAGCAGGCATGAAAAGGATGAATAGCGACTGGAACCAACTGGAAAGGATTGCTTGGGACGGGGTTGGATGAAGAGTGCTGGTTTGCAGCCTATTCTCCTCCATGAGAGGTAACAGGCGTAAGTATGTACGTAAGTAATTAAACTGTTCCTTATGGAGGTTAATATTCCGCCGCTGATGTATCGTCCAGACTAGATCTTTTTTGTAAATATACTTACTAGAGATTAACCACCGTATAAACAATAACATTTTGCTGAATAGTTATGTCTATGTTTATTCTATTTCTTTTGAAAGATTTGTTTTAAGCGCTGGAAGTGATGGAACACTTTTTGTCTGTGAACTTATGACAGAAGAAATGCAAGATAAAGAAATTAAAGAGTATCGTGCACGAATTCCATCTACATTTGTAAGTTAATTTATAAATTGAATAATAATTCATAACCACATATGTTCCAGAATTGAAATATCTGTATTTTCATGGAGAATTTATATAATCTGAATAAATGCATACTGATGTTAAACAACGATGAGACTATAATTTTTGAACGACCTTTAAGCAACGTTAATGTAACTTTGAGAATGTCTAAGGCTAAATGAGGGTTATAAACAAGTGTGAAGAATAAGGATCATGATTTACAGTTGATGGTTATAGGTTAGAAATTAGATTTAAGGCTTTTCATTACGAACTGATATCAGTTATAATGTCAAAACGTTATTTAGACAAATGGATCAGTGAACTTCACACCGAAATCCGAGACCTATTCTCTTAATCGTGATTGGTTCGTCGATAAATTATAGTCTCGCCCCTCATAAGCAGCTTTGGTTTGTGAGTTTTAAAGAGGTTACCAATGTTCACAGTATGACAGAAAAGTTTTTCCACTCTGTCTTATTTTCAGTTAATTTGCTGTAAGACATAGTTCATGATAAAAAGAACTTTCATAAAGAGAAATTAGTTGGGATTCATTTCATTTGGCCATATGATGGATAATTCTGACTGCTTATCTCACACATGTATACTCATCAGTAAACAATGTAAAGGTGTTCATTTACTTTGGTGACTGGTCAATTATAAAGTATTCTTTTTGATTGAAATCACGAGTCAATTGAAGCTAGACCACCATGGAAAGCCTAGAAGCACTGAACGGTCGTTTCGTCCTATTGTGCGACTCCTTAGCAGTGCGCATCCACGATCCCTCACCCCGCGAGATTTGAACCCGGGACCTATGAGTGTCGCGCCAGGCGCTTAACAAACTAGACCACTGAGCCGGCATCCAGTGGTGTTAATGTCTAACATCAACCAAACCACAAAATTGCGCGACCAACTTCCACTGCACTGAGATAGTCACCTGTTTTTACCCGACACGGATTAGCTCCACTGGTCACGGCTTCTCATCAGAACTCCGAGAATTTTCTCACGAAGCTAGTCACTAGTCAGCACATGGTAATTATCAGTTTAGACCACCGTGGTAGTCTAGCTTCAATTGACTCATGATTTCAATCAAAATGTTAACAATCTCCACAACGTCTAAACTGATAATAAAGCATTCTGTTCGAAATTTTATACACAAGAAGTGATGGGTTAAATTCAGCCGTTATTTTAGCTTATATTTATAGCCCAACAATTACATACTTACTTACGCCTGCTATCCCTCATGGAGGAGCATAGGCCGCCAACCAGCACTCTCCATCCAACTCTGTCCCAAGCAATCCTTTCCAGTTGGTTCCAGTCGCTATTCATCCTTTTCATGTATGCTTCCAATTCTCGATGCAGTGTGTTCTTAAGCCTTCCTCTTTTCCGTTTCCCTTCACGATTCCAAGTTTGCGCTTGCTTCATGATGCAATTTGATGATTTCCATAATGTATGTCCTGTCCACCTCCAACGTCTTTCCCTAATTTCTTCTTCAGCTCGAAGCTGGTTTGGTTGTCTCCCACAGTAGGCTGTTACTGACGATATCCTGTCAACAGAGCCTAACAATCAATTGAAACATAACGGATAATGAACGAATAGATTTACTTACAAATATAGGTGGTCGCTAGTAAATAAAGTTTCAAATATTATTTATGTTCATTTCTGTCTCATTTACATCAATATGACAACAAGGATGTACTAATATGATCTCCTTTATAATTAGTATAGTTTTCACATCAATTTAGCTTGTTAATTATTTAGATTCGGAGAGTTTGGATTCCTTCAAGGTATCCATCCTTTTCGAATCATAATTCACTTTGTTGATTATGTGTAACTAAATCCATTCAAAGGGCTCTATATTTTATCATTGAGTGTTCAATATTATCTTGAAGAGTTATATCAGCTATTTTGTAGTGTCGTTTGCTATGTTATTCTTACTCAGCTTAGTCTAGTTTCTGGACATATCAACCTATTCGTTCTTCTTGAGTCATATTTTGACCTTGTTAAATTATTCGCTTGTTATCATTGTCTGTTTTTATTGTAAGGGGTATGTATCTGTGCATTATCTATGTTACTCATCACATGTCAGTAACTTAGTTTTGGTTTGACTATAAACATCGATTCACTTGTAGCGTGGAGTCGAGTCGCGGTTGACTATGAACACCACTACAAGAAGACTACGTGCCAGTTAACCGGTAAAATCCTCCGTAAGCCAAATATCAGAATACAATTGATGGCTGTAGTCGAGATGTAGTTGTTGGCGATCTCGTGGTATGGAAAGGATACCGAGATCTTATCAATGGAGTACAAGTGTCGTTACTGAGCGTAACCGAACTCGTGCAAGATCACAATCAAAAGATAATAAAGCAGTAATATGGCTGTCTTTAGCACAGTTAAAAAAAACAAGTACAGTAAAACAATCACTGGTACAATTGGTTATAATAATGATTGTTCCCATTAAATCAATCGCGTTCTTTTGGTAAAAGTAGGTTACTACACACTCTTGGTTAAGTTGATTTGGCTCGTTCGCCATCTCTATTGTTCGTCATTTCGCTTTGCTTCGTTTTTCTTCCCTCATTTATCTGGATCAACGATTGTATGAAATATACGTATTCAAGCCTCATTCTCATATTTGACTTATTTTAATTCCGTTATTCACTAACATGATTTAAGTCGATGATCATATACGACGAGGATTGGCGACATGTGTGCTTCAATAACAATCAATCATGTGAACTAACTGTACTCAGATATTCGAAGGCTAGAAAAATTCACATCTATATATTCCCATTAATTAATCTAGTGACATAATCTCTTACCAATTGTATGATAATCATAGATACTGTAAGAACAGATTACATAAGATCCACAAGGTAAACAGAATTGATAATCAATTTGTTTAATGCAATTTACAGAATCAATTTTAATTATTACAAAAAGGGTAAACATAGGTATAGAATCAACCAAGTATCTAATACAAATATGTATCGGTTAGGTTCTTCACTTCACAGTGATCATCAGTCAGTCAGCTACAACGTAGGACTAGGCACATATATTCATCGGTCCAAGTTACCATGCCTCATTAGCACGGCAAGATGAAAACCGGATTCATAAGAGTGGTTAAGCCAATGGTGGTAATATAAAAAAGAAAGATTGCATATCAGGAAATAGTACGGAAAGAAAGAATTAGTCCGTAGAAAGAAGGATATGAAGTGATTTTAATCTCATAGTTTATGGGATGACAAAGAGTGTATACTTCTACGCCATTGTGATCGAATCTGAGTCATGTTATTCGGAGTCTCCTACCATTGGTTAAGATAGTCACTCGGAACTCAACCAAGTAGTCTGCATCTACCAACATGGCATAGAGGAGAAGTTTGCGACTTTATGGATTGATGCCACGTTTTGGCTTGGCCGCCCCTAACTTTCTTCCAACCATCCCTAACACTGGTCAGCATTGCGCGTCGTGGTATTCGGTGTTCAGGTATATGTAACACGTGGCCTAACGATCTCAGTCGATGAATATTAACATTCTCATCAAATGATTTACAATCATTCCCTACATAGTTGTATATCATCTAGTATGAGATATTTCGCTGACCATATCACTAGATCAGTAAAGTCAACTATTTGTACTTTCGTATTCTAGTGTCGATTCTTGACCTGGTCATCCTCAAAAACGTTTTTGAATTCATCACAATAGAGCGATAACGTATTGGGGATCGTGGTAGCCATCTATGTTTATAACATACCATACTTTCATTTGATTATTATAGTGTACTTCGAATTTGATAAATTACAAAAATACTTAACACCTTTAAATATTTTACAGGATACTAGTGTAAAAGTAGATGACATCATTGATCCAAAAGCTTATAGTATTGAAGAAACTAAACAAAAATCAGAACATGATCGTCTTGTAGAATTAGCAGAAAGAAAGAAAGCAGAAACCAGACAAAAAGTAGCAGAATTGAAAGATCGTTTAAGAAAATTAAAAGAACAAAACAATCGCCTACCAGAAAGGATTCGTCTACCAACGGAGGTAAAATGAACTGATGAATATATTTAATGCTTAAATGTAAGATATATATATATTCATGGTTTAAATCCCAAACTTACCGTGGTTTGAATACCACTGAAAACCTCTAAGCACTACATTGTGCTCACTACTGACCAGCTTCAAGGTGTAATTCCTGAGGTTTTAGTGAGAAGTCATGATCAGTGGATTTCAACCATGTTGGATATGATACAGTTATCCACCGCAAATAATGGATGAGGGTTGTTCAACACTGAGTTGTACACTAACTTTGATGTCCGTCTGTTTAAGTGGCCTAAGGGTTAAGCATTTACATGCAAGACAAGAGGTTGTGAATTCGATTGCAAGATGAGAAGTTGCGGATGTACACTCCTGAAGAGTTACGTAGTACAACGTATCAGTTGTTCAATGTTTCCAGGCTTTCAATGGTAGTCTAACTATGATCAGTTCATGATTTAAAATTTATGAAAATTTTATATTTTCCACAACACGAACTTGTAAGTGATAACATATGAAGTTGCATGCTGAACAGTACATTCGATGATGAACAGCTGAAGATAACCAACAAGCAGCTTTAAACCCTTGATATTTTACAAGTCAGCATTCATCAAGCACATAAGAATATTCAGTATAATTAGGTAGTCACTACTCAAATATTCAAACACATTTATTCTATATCTGTAATTATATACGTTACCATAATTCCATTCTAACTGTATTAATTAATAACGTAGACTCAAATTTTAGAATTATGTAATATTTCTCAGTGGCTTCCAACAGATCTTCAGTTTCCTATCTATTACTTACTCACTTACACCTATAACCCCTCGTCAAGGAGCATAGGCCACTCACCTGCATTCTCCATCCAACGCTGTCCTGGACAAGCCTTTCTAGCTCCTTCCAGTTCTTATTCATCCTTTTCATATCTGCTTCTATTTCCCAATGTAATGTGTTCTTTTGCATTCCTTTTCCTGCTTCTCTTCACGATTCCAAGTTAGGGCCTGCTTCATGATGCAGTTTAGTGATTTCCGTAATATATGTCTTATCCATTTCCATCGTCTTTTCCTAATTTCCTCCTCAACTTGAAGTTGGTTTGTCCTCTCTCACAGTAAACTGTGACTGATGGTATCCGGTCAATGAATATTAAATAACTTGAGTAGAAAACTATATATAAATACTTTTACTTTTTTGATGATAGTTGTGTTAGTTCTATAAGTTTCAGCTCCATACTGTAGAACTGTCTTGATGTTCGTATTGAAGATTGTGACTTTGATATTAGTTGATAGACAGTTGTTTTCAGTTCCATATGTTTCTATTTATTACCTTTAATGATTGTTATTTTATGCTAAGATTCAATGATTTCAATTTTAAACAGTTACATAAATCTCATGCATCCCTGTTTTATATTCTAATTGAAAAATCAAATCAATCAAATCAAGGCGTTCAATTTAGTTCCACAAATTCGATGTGATCTACTCAAAGATCGTGAAACTGAAATTGATTTGGTCTATAGAGAAACAGCTTGGGAAACTGAAAAAAATAGGTTGGCATTAGAAAAATTAGAGAATGTGTAAGTGTGAAACAAAGAAAAAATAAAAAGATTGAATTTTGAGTAACGTTTTTATATGTAAAATGTTTATGTCGTTTTATTGTATCCTTACTATTGAATTTGCTTTTAAGTAGTATAAAAATGTGTTCAGAAAAAAACCCTACATAAGATGACCAACGTTACCCAGATGAAATTGAATAAGCATACAATAATTCTGTAATGATTATTTCTGCATACATTCATTTGTAGTCTATGTAAGTGAATTCAATTTAGTAAAAACAATCTGCTTTGAATAATAACACAATTCCAGTCATTCATTTTATAATAGTGACTATTGTATGAGGATTTGATAGTTTAAGGTGAGAGTATAGTAATTAAATTTAACCAAAACTAAATTTATTCAAGATATTGAAACCAAAGGTATAATCTGCTTGATAACCATCATGAGGTCCATCAGTCTTTGCGAAAACACTAAATGGTATGACATAAGAATCCTAGTTTTGATTCAATAGTTTGTTCAAATTTTCAACTACTTTTGGATTGGTTGAGGTTAGATATTAACACCGTTGAATACCTGCCGGCTCAGTGGTTTAGAAGTTAGGTGTTCGCGCGCGAGACTGAAAACCCTGAGTTTGAATCTTGCGAGCGGGATCGTTGATGTCCACTGCTGAGGAGTCGCGAGACAGAACGAAACGGCCGTCCAGTATTTCCAGGTTTTCAGTGGTGGTCTAACATCAATCGGTTCATGATCTCAATCAAAAGCCTAATAATCTCCACAACCGTATACTGATAACTTATTTCTTGTTGAATAAAAATGACTGATGAGATATAAACTAAACATTCTTACTGAGATCAGCTTTAGGCTCATTTATTACATTAGAGAAATTGTACTTCTGTTATGTGAATAAAAGTGAATATCCAAATGTCATTTTTAATGAGTTATGGCCCTGTCTAATATCATTTCATAAAATCACCAATGAAAATACCGATCTCTACGGTTTTGTCTCTTCGTTAATCAATGAAAAACCGACCATCACTCGTAGCCTTCCGTCGACTCTCTATCTTTATTGATCCTCGATAAAATAACTGCACTCCTTGCCACGCCCATTGGGTCCAGAACATAATAGTCAGCCTCTACTGCATAAATAATATATTCCAAACACGTAGTTTATATATAAAAACAAACTAAACCACATCACACCATCAAAATGAAAAATAGCAACTATACAAGATTAAGCCAAATGTGTTTATGAGTAGGGGTTGGACTCCAAATAAAAGAATGGGAATAAATTAAGAATAACAAATCGTACGACAGTAGTTATTAAGTCAAAAGAAGGCTTATGATAAAAGAAATATAAACATATATGATCTAGTATCAGAAGAGATTTTGTGGAGATCGTAGTAATTTGAATAGTTGGGATAATGAGTAAATTGAAGCTAGACCACCACTGAAAAACTGGAAGCATTGGACGGCCGTTTCGTTTTAATGTGGGACTCCTCAGCAGCGCGCATTCAGTATCCTGTACATGGGAATTCAACCCAGGGGCGTCAGTTTGGCGTGTGGACGCTTAACATCTAGACCACTGAACCAGCATCCAACGGTGTTATTATTTGGTTAACAATCGGAGAAACTATTGACTTAACTGTTCTTTAAAATATTCAGTAATACTAAACTAGTGTAATATGGTAGTCATTATCATTCTCCTTAGTATTTCAATAGTGTAATTATTCACGTCCACAATTACTTTAGTATCCTGATAACGTGAAAGTGAATGATATTTAAACTATAACATTACTGGATAAAGATAGGAAAATTAAACTTTCGGATTTTGAATCAATTTTACTCAAACATCACTTCTTCAGTGGAACATGGACTCCACGAATTAGATACTAAGTGTAGTAGAAAACTACACACTGGTGAATAGTTTCACACTAAGAAGGAAAACTTATTCAATACTGCCTAGTTTCCAATATACTCACCCAGGTGCAGCTAGCTAACGAGTCTTAAATGGGACGAAGCGTGTGCCCTAAATTACGTTGCTAACCACCATCCATATCTCTCATTATAATCTTTCTAATTTCATATGAGTTTTTAATTACCGTATTATTAACAATTTACTTTAACAGATTCATAAAGCCGTTGGATTGTGATCGTATAACTGTCAAAGCATTTTGTAGTGGTCACTGTGTAACTTCAATACGTATGAATAAATTAAGTGAAGAACACATAAAAGTCTATGATGAGATAATTAGTATTCGAGAAAAATCATTGAGCAAAGAAAAAGAAGACACAGTAAAGCATTCTACACAATTAGGTAAGTTGATACTAATAGATTATTATTATAATAAATAATAAATTGGGTTCACAAAATATAACAAACACTCGATTGGGTACTATATGTTACAGCAATCGCCTCAATAGACCATGAAACTCGATCACATGATATACTTGATTCATTTATCTGACCAAATATCAAAATTTGAAAACAACCTATAACCAGAGTTGATTAACAAAGAATATTTCCTGGAGTTCTACTGAGAAGCCGTTACCAGTGGAGTTCAACCAGGTCTGTTGTGAGATATCAGCTCACTGAAGACAATGTTAGACGGTGGCGCGATTTCGTGGATTGGTTGAAGTTAGACATTAACACCGTCGATTCCCGGCCGGCTCAGTGGTCTAATGGTTAGGCGCTCGCGAGCGAGACTGGTAGGTCCTGGGTTCGACTCTCGTGGGGAGTGGGATCGTGGATGCGCACTGCCGAGGAGTCCCATACTAGGACGGAACGGCCGTCCAGTTATTCTAGGTTTTCCATGATGGTCCAGCTTCAATTCACTCATCATTTCAACTATCGAAATTACTAAAATCTCCACACAACCCTTTCTGATAAAGAATATAAAGCAGTCAAGCAATAGAATGATGCTGGAATCAATTTTACACATAAAATAGACGGTGCAATTTAACGTTCGGTCTATAATGCCAAAATGATATTTAAATAACTTGTACCACGTTATATTAGCGTTCACTTGGAAACAGGAGTGATCTGAAACAACAACATAACAGTCAGAACTGGTAAATGCCTCTGAAGTAAGAACGCGAAGTACTGGCACGGCAGATATATTTTAAAAATTAAAAGACGCGGTTCGAGTACAAATAGGGAAAAGTATTACAAAATAGTTTTATCCAGTGTTCTGCAGGTTCAATTTACGTCGTAATAGAAAACACCGGATATGAAGATATCATGGGACGAAATGGACTGGGTGAGAGAAACGAAAGTGGGAGAGGTTTGCAAATCTATGTGCGTTCAAAAAATTGGTCATAAGCGGCACAATATTTCCACACAAACGTATACACAAAGCTACATGGATCTCACCGGACCACACTACAGAGAACCAGATAGATTATATTTGCATCAATAAAAAGTTCCAAAGGACGATGGAAGATGTGAGAACCAAGAGAGGAGCTGAAATAGCTTCAAATCACCACCTAGTTGTAGCCAATTTAAAACTGAAGCTGGAAAGAACTGGACAACTGGACAAACAGCAACACAAAGGTTCAATACAGCCTTGCTTCGAGATACTGACAGACTCAACGAATTCAAGATAGCTCTCAAAAACAGGTTCCAAGACTTAGAAGATCTACTGAAGGAAGAAGAAACTACTATGGAGGACAACTGGAAAGGTATCAAAGAAGCATTAACTTCAACGTGTCAAGAGGTTCTGGACCTAAAGAAACACCATCATAAGGAGAACTAGCAACGACGGCGGAAAAAGCTGCTAGAGAAGGAAACATGAAACAGCTTTACGATACAACGAAGAAACTATCAGGGGAATATAGTAAACCAGAGAGACCGGTCAAAGACAAAGAAGGCAAGCCAATCACTGAAATACAACAACAGAGGAACATTTGGGTAGAGTACTTCGAGGAACTCCTGAATAGGCCGGCTCCAATAAATCCATCGGACACCATGGAAACTTCTTAGACACTACAGAGTTCCTGAGAAGATTGTCAACATTATCCGGAACTCATACCACGGACTACAGTGCAAGGTCGTGCATGGAGGACAGCTGACAGATGCATTCCAAGTAAGGACCGGGGTCAGACAAGGCTGTCTACTCTCTCCCTTCCTCTATCTTCTAGTGGTCGACTGGATTGTGAAGACCTCGACATCTGAAAGAAAACACGGAATACAATGGACAGCTCAGAATCAATTAGACGATTTGGACTTCGCAGATGACCTAGCCATCCTATCGCATAAACACGAACAAATGCAGATAAAGACAGTCAGTGTAGCAGCAGTCTCTGCATCAGTAGGCCTCAGCATACACAAGGGAAAAACCAAGGTCCTCAAATACAACACCGAGAACAGCAACCCAATCACCCTTGATGGTGAAACTCTGAAAGATGTAGAATCCTTCACATACCTGGGAAGCATCATCGATAAACAAGGAGGCTCAGATGCAGACGTAAAGGCAAAATTGGCAAAGCAAGGGCCACATTCTTACAATTGAAGAACATATGGAACTCAAAACAACTTTCAACCAATATCAAAGTGAGAATCTTCAATACCAACGTCAAGGCAGTTCTACTGTATGGAGCTGAAACTTGCAGAACTAATACAACCACCATCAAGAAGGTATAAATATTCATAAATAGCTGTCTACGCAAGATACTCAACATCTATTGGCTGGATACCATCAGCAACAGCCTTCTCCGGGAGAGAACAAAGCAACTTCCATCTGAAGAAGAAATTAGGAAAAGTCGATGGAAATGGATAGGACATACATTACGCAAATCGTCAAACTGCATCACGAGACAAGCCCTAACTTAGAACCCTGAAGGAAAGCGAAAAAGAGGAAGGCCAAAGAACACATTGCGTCGGATTATAGAAGCAGATATGAAAAGGATGAATGAGACTTGGAAGTAGCTGGAAAGGATTTCTCAGGACAGGGTTAGATAGAGAATGCTGGTGAGCTGCTTATGCTCCTTCACCAGGAGTAACAGGCGTAATGTAAGTAATGAATTTAGTCTTACTAAGGCGTTTCCTTATCCTTTTTACATTCAGCAGTATATATTGGACAGGACTAAGAAATTCTAATTCGCTCTGAAACGATAACAATTCCAGATGGTAAATTTACAATTCAACTATCCGTATTTCCAACTTCATATAATATCCAAACAATCAGTGTACTGTTGATGGTTTACTACCATATTCCTGACATGACTGAGCTTTAGATTTCACATAACCCTACTTTAAATTCGAAAAGTCTATTTTGAAACTAACTACTGATGAGAAGATAATTACATTCATTTTAAGATATATATGGCAATCTAATACTTACATATAATCACATATACGTGACAAAGTTGATCTGTACCCTCTTAATCTTAGTGCTTCTTATATTGACTTGCAGATTGTATAAAATCGATTAGTTAAAATAAACTTTATTTCGGTGAGACTATAATTTATGGACGAACCTGTTGATCATCAACGTAGATGATCTATGTTGAATGACTGGAGGCCTACTCAAGTTAGACGGGAAGAGTGTGACGAACCAGCTGACATTAAAGTCACACTTCGAGATCAGCATCAAACTTGGATTACCTTTTTGACGTATCAAAGTACTATGGCTGCTTTGAAGACCGTATAACACAAAGGACGTTATTATGGAAATATATAAGTAAGAATGAATACGGAGAAGATAGCGAGATCACCGAATGCGCCAGTCGTTGGGATACGATTAACTGATGGGTGTTGGTTGTCCTTGACCTTGACGAGGATCGATGAAATGTTCGATATTCAATGACCCAACTGCTGGATGATTTGGTTAGGACTCAGGGACATTTCAATACAAACCAATCAGGTACAAGATAACTGGCCTCGGACTTTGACGTGAAATCCACTCATCCATTTGGATAAGTAAAGTTTTGGCGTTATAGCTGATGTCAGTACGTAATGAAAACCCCAAATGAAATTCTTATCCTTAACCATCAACTGTAAATCATAATTTTTAATTCCTCACACTGGTTTGTAACCCTTATTCGGTCCTAGTTAATTAGGTGGATACTCCCAAGGTCACTCTAACGTTACTTAAAGATTACCAATAAATTATAGTCTCACTCTTTTTTTTTCTTATTTATCTTGATATTTAGATGTAACTAGTACATTGGAATATGAATCTGAAAAGATTAAAAATGTTACTAATCAAGTTCATACATCAATAAAAGGAGCACGTGGTTTAAGAATTGCACAAAAGTTACATTTACTTGAGGAATCTAGACGAAAACGAGATGCTCGTCGAGCTCAGGTAAATTTATAAATTCGATTTGAAAACATAAATCATCTATAACATGACATATACTAACACAAATATATGATTCCTTTTTACAAACTTGACAGTCGTTTCGTTCTAGTGTGGGATTCCTCCTCAGTGCGCATTTAAGATCCCTCCCAGCGGGATCCAAACCCAGAACCTATTGGTCACGAGCGTGAATGCTTAACGTCTAGATCACTGAGCTGGCATTCATGGTGGTCTAGCTTCAATTGACTCATGAACTCAACTATTAACTTACTATGATATCTACAAAACTACTTTCTGCTAATAAACTTGGCAGTATTATAATCTATGTAGTTGGTTCCTTTTATGAATGTGAATAAATTCAGTAATGATCATATTCAGAACAATCCAGAGTAGTAATTCGAGTCCCAGAGTGAACATCAACTCTGAGATGCAGGTACATCCAAATGAAAAGTCCCTAGTAGAACGAAACGCGCGTCCTGGAGTACACTGCTAGTCCCTATCTATCTTTGTTCATAATGTTTGTGAATTAAGGCAATATCGAGGCAATCCACATAGGATGCACATATGCCAATAAGAGACTGATCATTTGCAGTCTTAAATAACAATGGGAAGATTCAAGTAAAAAATACCAACTGAAAAATAATTTTGCCACACTTTACAACTTCGCATTTATTTTGATTATGATAAGTAGTATGGTTTTGATAAAAAGAACTTAATCATTGTTATTTAGTGCTCCTGTATCTGACTCTAGTTTGATTGTACGATGATGCTATCGAAGGGCTCACTACTTTTGTAATCCGTTATCTCACTCCAGTAATATCGTATGATTGATTGTTATTGAGATATACATATCGCCAATCCTCGTATATAATCATCGACTTAATCCATGTTAGTAAATAACGGAATTAAAATAAGCCATGTACGAGAATGGATTTCGAATACATATATTTTGTACAATCATTGATCGGAACAGACAATTAGAGGTACGTAGCGGAGGTAGCAAAGAAGAGAGAGCGAAACGAAACGATGCGCAGCGGAGAACGCACGTAAGCCACCTCAATTTAATCAATATTAATAATTACACAAAAATAAGCTACATACGTGTGATGAGTAGGGTAATATGTGGATACACATAGGCTGATATAAAAACAGTCAGTTTTGATAAGTTAATGATTAACAAGGTTAAAATTGTAGCTTAAGGACAACGGATAGATCGATTTGTCCAGAAGCTAGAATGAGTTATGAGGGCTTAACATATGGTGCCAGCCGCTAAAGTTACCTTTAAGTGGTAGTTGAATCATTGATAGAGTTTTTCAACTTGATCTTTTATTCATTCATGTGATGATTGGTAAATACTTCTAATTTTATTCAAGATATTTGACATGACCATGTGGATTGATATGATAATTGATATTGCACTCCATCCACTAAACTATGTGAATGAATATGAATACTACTTGTTTGTAACGGAATGGATCTTGTAAAAGTTGGAGTTAGTATTATTGGATTATTGTTGAGTTTAGACTGATATCATAAATGGATCAATCTTAGATCACCATTGAAAACCTGAGAGCACTAGATGATCGTTTCTTCCTAGTATGGGACATCGTGGATTAGCTGAAGTTAGACATTAACATCATTGAATGCCAACTTAGTGGTCTAGAGGTTAAGCGTTCGCGCGCGAAACCGGAGGTCTTAAGTCCCAGTCCCTGTGCGGGATCGTGGATGCGCAGAGGAGTCCCATAAGAAGACGAAACGGCCGTCCAGTCCTTCCAGGTTTTCAATGATGGCCTAGTGTTAATCCATTCATGATATCAATCTAACTTATAATTTTGTATTGCTCATTAACTACTGTTAGATGACTTACTATTCTTAGTCACTTCCCAGCTTTTTAATTACAGTATCCTCTACCCACAGCCACTTTTTGGCTTGATCATGTATAATTGTTATCATGAAATTTATAGTTGGATGTGGTCTAGTATGTCTGTATATAAACTACATATGTTTGAAACATATTATTCGTATTATGGAGTTTGGTTATTGACTTCTGAACTCCAGGGAAGGAGGCGGAGGAAGAAGGTACGAATAGATTTGTGGAACAACAATGAATAAGCAGTTAATTCAAGGTAACTGGTATGCGTTTGACGTGTAATTGACCAACTCAATGACGCTAAATCATATAAATCGGGATTCTGAATGATGGTTTTTCCACGTGGTATCGGTCAGCGGTTGAATGACATAACTGGACTGCTTTCATCCTGTATTTTATATTTCATTGAGCTACAAAACTATAATACACAATTACATTGGTTATAACAATGACCATAAAGAATGCGATCGTTGATCAATGTTCTTAACCAACCTAAAGCTAAAGTGAAAAAAGTACGATAAGCTATTATTCATTAATTAGTTTTATCACAAAGTGAATTTCTCATTAGAATTATGCAGACTATGTAGTACTGTGGTGTGTGTGCTACTGGTGTCGACTATGGAGTCCCACAGTAGGACGAAACGGCTATCCAATGCTTCCCAGGTCTTCCATGGTGGTCTAACTTCAATTGACTCATGATCTCAACTATTAATATTTTGAATTGTGTTTATATAAAATGTACAATTTTCTTTATGGACTATTTTAAATTTAAGTGGAAACAATTAGAAGCTATGAAACCAGCTGATGATTATGAAGATCCAAGAGATATGAAAGAAATTCAATTGGCTAAAGAAAAAATAGGTGATTATAAATTGAAATCAGCAACTAATTATGTAATACCTGAAAGTATGAAATTGAATACATTTGAAGTTAAACATAAACTTCTTAATCTTGTGGATCATGTAAGTCAATATGTCGTTATGTAATGAAATGAGTTGGATGATTAGTGAGAACTGAGATAATGCTGGATAGTTGTCTTGTTAACCACAATTGATGATCACTGGGTGGTGATCAATGTCATGCATGTCAAGTCCTTATTTAGTACAGATCGAATGCTATCGATCATGTTGCAATGTGCTCACCAGTCTAGGTGACATGACACTGCGTGCACTATATATTTAGATTAGACGGTAGTTGGTCGACTACCTCCAACCACCATCTAATCTCAGTTGTCTTGTTAAGTTTTGAATTGAACTTTTTGGATTTGTTATTATCTTTTATATTTTGGAATTTGTTCTGACAGTTTGATCTGTCTTTGCTAATAGATTATAGCAACTTGAACCAATGTACATATGTGCCAAGATATGTGTTGTGATGGACTAAGTTGTTAGCCACGAGACAATATATATAGATGGAGGTACATAATAAGCTACAGCATAAGAATGATCTAACTGAAAATAGACTTTCGAAGACAGAATCAAGTGAGTAACTATTCGAACTTAGATGTTACCAAGTAGGTACTTCTTTAAAGTTTAAAATATCTCAGTAGTTTATAACGGATTGTCGACTGAGCAGTTAACACTGTCATATTTGTCTAGTTTCTTAGTTTAGATCAAATCGCCAAGTGTTTACTAGTCCAGAAAAATCAATTTCATGTGAAACATGTGTAGATTTTAAATGATATGACATAATCGACAGGAAACCCTGCTCCACTTAGGATTTATTCTGTTTAACACTCACGAGAAAGGTCTATCTACAAGCGTTGGTAACTGGTCCCCTGTTCGATTGAAATACAAATTACTCAGCTTCACATTATGAAACGTTAGCAGTGACGTATTTTAGAAGCCGTTGATTACGTAACAGATACTAGCAGTACAAACTCCTGACTCCACTCATTTTTCAGCCCATCACAGAATCATTAAGCTGTCATCAAATTTCAGTGACTTATTGCTTCAGTTTACTGTATAAATAAGTTGTAGTAGCATCGACGACATTTTTTCGGTTGCAGAGTTCTGTGGCCCAAGATCTGACTCCAGGTAGATCAGATAAATGATCATCGTTGAATGATTGCTGTCGAAATATATATCCTGACTATCCTCGTACATAACTATCGATTTAAATCACGTTAGTGAATAACGGAATTAAATATGAGAACGAAGTTTTGAATACATATATTTTGTACATTCATTGATTTGGACAGATAATCAAAGCAATGGGACCAACACACGATAAAGAAGCGAAATAACGCTTAGTGGAAAAGGCGTGTGAGCCAACAACTCGATTTAATCAAACGTTAATCAGTATGTATAGTTACACACAAATAAGCTACAAACATGTGATGAGTAGAATAAGATGTACACACACATACACTCATATAAAAGCAAGGTCAAATCATGACTCAAGATTTATGGATAAATTGGTCTATCCAGAGGCTAGAATAAGTTATATGGGCAACCGACACTACAAAGATAGTTAAACTCCTCTCATTATTGCTTGTGAATTAAATTATGCTTCAAGCTAATCATAAATTAGCTTAAGCACCTGTCTTTCGAATCATATAACTTTCGTCAATGTATTCTAATCCAGGTAATACTATTCACTCGTACATCGTGTCTAAACTTTGGAAAGTTACCACCTTAAACAATGAAAGCTACCATTAACTAACCATAAGTGAAACGTTTTTAATATTAGCCGAGAATAATGGTCTAATGGTTAAGCGTTCGAGTGCAAGACTGGTAAGTCCTGGGTTCGAATCTCGCGAACCAGGATCGTGGATGTACACTGTTGAGGTGTCCCACAATAGGACGAAACAGCCATCCAGTACTTCCAGGTTTTCCATGGTTGCCTAGCTTCAATTAACTTATGATCTTGAAGATACTACAGATATTTGGAGTTTGACAACGCATTAATCAATAACACCTACTACTATGAATCGTACCCACTAAGTGAAATCAAAAGTCAGAATCGAGGATGCTCGAAGTTATAATTGATAGGCTATCAGTATATTGAGGATCGACTGATCTAGACTGGCTAGCGATTTCAAAGGATGTTGAGCAGCATGACGTTCCTACTCATGATTTGTTGCAGATGCATAACCAAGCGCTTTCTGCATCCAATGTCGAAGACTTAGAGAGCTATTGACTTACCGTTACAATCTCAACTTATAAATGAAAACCCAAGGATAAATCTAATTATTGATATACACTTTTCACAGATTGAAATAATGAGTCAATTGAAGTTAGACCACCATGGAAAACCTGGAAGCACTGGACGGCCGTTTCGTCCCGGTATGAGACTCCTCAGCAGTGCGCATCCATGATCCCTCACCTCGCGAGAGTCGAACACGGGACCTACCAGTCTCGCACCAGGCGCTTAACCAACTAGACCACTGAGCTGGCCGGCAATCAATGGTGTTAATATCTAACTTCGACCAATCCACAAAGTTGCGCCACTGTATACCATTGTCTTCAGTGAGCTGATATCTCACAACAGACCTGGTTGAACTCCACTGGTAACGACTTCTCACTAGAACTCCAGGAGTATCTCTTAAAGTTAGTCACTAGTGAGCATATGATATGGTATACGGTGGCGCAACTTCGTGGATTGGTTGAAGTTAGACGTTAACACCGTCGGATACAGGCCGGCTCAGTGGTCTAGTTGGTTAAGCGCCTGGAGCGAGACTTATAGGTCCTGGGTTTGAATCTCGCGTGGTGCGGGATCGTGGATGTGCACCGCTGAGGAGTCCCATACTAGGACGAAACGGCCGTCCAGTGCTTCCAGGCTTTCCATGGTAGTCTAGCTTCAATTGACTCATGATTTCAACCAGTGAAATTTCTAAAATCTCCACAAAATCCCTTCTGATATATAATTTTTGTTGGATTTTGTTCAATGATAGGTGTATCAATTAAGTCATGAATTCAATGTATCATTAATTGGATTACGTAATAAAAAAATGAAAATTATAGAAAATTTGAAAAAAATTGATAAACAATTAAAATATATTAATTGTAATTTACCATTGAATGAATATGGTATACGTTTACATATTGATGAACTTGATGAAGATGAATATCCTGAAAGGTATTATTGATCATTGAAATGAATTGTACAAAATTATTAAACATATTTTGAATTTTTGATTGAGATCATGAACCGATTGATGTTAGACCACCATCCCGCGGGCGGGGTCTTGGATGCGCACTGTTGAGGAGTTCCACAATGGGACGAGACGGCGTCTAGTGTTTTCAGGTTTTCAAAGGTGGTTTAACATCAACCGGTTCATGATCTCAATCAAAAACTTAACAATCTCCACAACCACTATACTGACACTTTGAATTATTGAAATTTAATTAAATAATGATATAATCTTTATGGTGAGTGTTATAACTTATAACCTTGTAACCCTATCAATTTATAACGTAATGATACTGCCAATTAGAGAATTGTGGCTTATCGACCGAACTAATAATGCATATAACCTGTACGAGCAGTCTAGAGTTTTTGTCGGTTCTGCTTCCCGACTAGCCGTACCTGGTTAGAATCCAGAACACAAATCTCAGCCTCTGTGATATGAATCATGTATTTCAAACATACTAGGTTTATATACAAATTAAATAGACTATATCGTTGTTGAGGACGTTGGAAAGGGTCCTAATTTTGTAATTATATTCTGAAAATTTGAATTTTATGTTTTCGCGCTAAGAGATGCTTAGTTGACTCACAAGCTACATTTCCCACTTGAAAATCCTTGACTGTCATTGGTTGACGGAATTTTTTAGTACGCTATTTTGTGGCTCTCCCAAACGCGTTTTTATCATTGTAGAAATAAGCTTGATTTGTGTGCTTAGTGACATCGTATTTTCTGGATGCTTGTAGAATACATTCTCTACACCTGATCAAGACTTGTTGATTTAGTTGACAGGGCTGGGGACAACGGATTAGAATAGCCTATCGTATCATTGTATCTTTGACCTTCATTCCGTTTATCGAGTAAGGTGAACTCGTAATAGCATTCAAGCATATCAATCGTACTATAAAATAGAAAACAACATTTGTACAAGATCTAGCCAAAAAAGTGGATGTGGATGTAGGAGACTGTAATTAATAGACAAGGCATAATTCAAGAATGGTAAATCGTACAGTAATACTCCATGGGTCAAATTAAAGCTTATAATAAGAGAAACCTGAATGTTCATAGTTTAGCTACTTAACAATTATACAATAAAAACTACATGTATCGTATTAGTCCAGAAATAGATTCCAACAGTTACCATCCATTATTCTCATCGGAATATAACAGTAAGAATCTAATCTAAATCATAGACCAATTTATCTACATTCTTAAACTATATGATTAAGAAAGATGTTACCGAATAGTGCGAATCAGAATAATCTATCGGTTAAAAGATTCAGTACTTTCTTGTCTTATAGATTTTCTATGTTAGCAACTATGGAAAATTTAGTTATAATGATAGTTTGAGTTAAAATTGATAAAGATTTTAATGAAATTGTGGTCTTCAAGCTGAATGGCTTCATTGTGAAAGTTGGATCAACATTCAAAACAACATCTCTAGCACAAACTTCAAACAGAAGTAACGTTTATGATGATAATATTGTTCAGAAATCTAATATTACGTGAAACATGATGAGAATTATGTGTAGAAAACAAAATCATTATTAGTCTATTCAGAGATTAACTTACACCTGTTACTCCCAATTGAGCATGTGCTGCCGACCAGCATTCTCCAACCCACTTTGTCCTAAGCCTTCCTTTCTAGCTCTATCCAATTGTTGTTCATTCTTCTCATGTCTGTCTCCATTTCTCGGTGTAATGTGCTCTTTCGTCTTCCGTTTCTCATTTGGCATTGAGGAATTCAAGTCAGTGCTTGCATTGTGAAGCAGTTGGGTGATTTCCTCAATGTGTATCCTATCCACTACCAGAGCTTCTCCCTGATTTGTTCCTGCAGTGGGATCTGATTTCTTCTCTCCCATAGTAGATTGTTACTTATAGTGTCTGGCCAATGGATCCGAAGTATTTTGTGTATATTACTAAAATTGGCACGATACAGAGAGGATTAGCATGGCCCTGCGCAAGGATGATACACAAAACCATGAAACGTTCCATATAAAAAAGAATGTGGTGAGACTATAATTCATAGATGACCTTTGAGTGACGCTACAGTGACCTTGAGAGTGTTCACCTACTAGTAACTAGGACCAAATGAGAATTATAAACCTGTATGAGAAATTAGGATTATGATTTACAGTTGATGATTAAGATTAGGAATTAGATTAAGGGTTTTTCATCACGAACTAACATCAGCTATAATGCTAAAACTCTATTTAGCCAAAAGGATCTGTGAATTTCGTGCCAAAATCCCAAAGATCTGTTATCTTATACCTCTGATTGGTTCGTTCATAAATGATAATCTTGTCTTCTTTCGTTTCTTCTTTTTTTTTCTTCAAAAAAATGAAACTATTTCTAAAAAGAAAATTCATATACAACAATGAGATTCTATTGAATTTTAAAGAGAATTTAGAAACGAATAAACAAACAGAACAAACTAATGTCACCATAGCAACAACATTAAAGTAAATGATTATAAATAATGTTTATTTGTTCATAAATATGATTTTATATCTCAATCGAATTTAATTTATTTTACAGATATAGTACTAAAATTGTAAACGTGATACTGGTGGCAAACCTCATTGTCTGTGTTGTCAGAACAAGAACAATTTAGCTTGAAAATTTTATCTGATTTTATACGTGGGTTAAGCGTTCGCGCGCAAGACTGAAGGCCCTGGGTTCGAATCCTGCGAGCGGGATCGTGGATGCTCACTGCTGAGGAGTCCAAAAATAGGACAAAATGGTCGCCCAATGCCTCCAGGTTTTCAATAGTGGTCTAACATCAATCAGTTCATGATCTCAGTAAAAATAACAGTTTGATTAATATCAGAATTGGGTTTATTGTGGATATTATAGTAGTTTTAATAGTTTAGATCATGAGTTAATTGAAGCTAGATCACTATAGTGAATCTGTAAGCACTGGATGGCCAACTCATCCTATTGTGGGACTCCTCATTGGCAGTGCGCATCCATGATCCCACCCCATGAGATTTGATTAGTACAGTAATAATTATAAGAATTATAGTCATTAAGTGGAACGTGGAAACATAACGACTAGTGTTGCGCATCTTGTCGAAATGAATGAAATATTGAGTCATACGAATATTTTTTTGATAGCGTTCTAGTTTTCTATAAGATAGAGTCGGGAATTCCATGTCCAACGGCAGAAGGGCTGCAGATGGAGTTCGTCACTAATATAATAGGATAATAATGTCCTTCAATTGTTAGGTTACATGCAATAGGGATTAGTCTACAAATACATCAGACCAAATTGACGTAGTGGGAGCTTAACAACAACGATCTGATTGGTTATTTGTAGACTGTTATAGCCCAAAGCCGCCAATCAGAAGCAGCGGATTATCGATCGGACCAAGGACGCGTAAAACATGTGCGAGCAACTTAGAGTCCTTATTGGTCCTGCTTCCTGCCTAGCCCAGCCACTTAAGTCCAGAACACAAGTCTCAGCCTCTATAATATGAATCATTATATTTCAAACATACTGAGTTAATATACCAATCAAACAGACCACAACGTAGCATAAAATAGAAAATAACATTTGTACAAGATTTAGCCAAAAATGGCTGTGAATGTGGGAGGTAGTGATTAATAAACAGGCAATAATTCAAGGATGGTAAAACGTATAATAACAGTTGATGACTCAAAATAAAGTTTATAATAAGAGAAACATGAGTAGTTTAGTTATTTAACAATTATACAATAAAAATATACGTTTAGTATTGGTCCATAAAAAGATCCCAAGTTACCATTCATTATGTTTGTGGGGACATAACATAGACATAATTAACAATTTCTTTAGAACTATAGGTCAAGTGACTAATTGACGTTGATTATTAACGTTGAAATCTGTGTTACGTACGTATAAAGTATCCACTTTCTTCATAATATCAAATGGAAGAAATTTCTTTAAGCGGATAAACTAAAAATTGGTATTACGTAATTAGCAACCACTTGGTTTCCACTTGGAGGGAGGTGGAACGATTAGTTTATTCTCTTTTGTAAATTTGTTTTTTTTCTTGAGATCATGTTCTTTGCCTCTTTTTTCAAAAACTTAAATCATTAATACTACTGTTATTTATTTGTATTTATTTTGTGAATTGTCAGTACTATCTCTGTAATGATGACATGGGACTATAAATATTTGTGTAGTATATCATGCCGATCCTCACAGGATGTACATATGGCCGATAAGAGACTGATCAATTGTAGGTCTAAACATCAATGAGGAAATCCAAACAACCCACACAAAGCCGGCGACCATACCTCATTGAAAGCACCGGTTCTCCTCCGATCACCACAGTTAAGCAACGTAGTGCCCGGTCAGTACTTGCATGGGTGACGAGCTGGAAATACCCGAAGACGCCGGCTTTAAAGCCCCCAAATGCCCTGGTACGGCCGAGAGTGAGGAGAGTCCTCTCTACCTCTCGAAATGCTCTCATATGGCCACGCGTATATAGCCTCTGACAGGGAAATCCTACTCATTGCCTTCTCGTAGTGGGGGTGTTGTTTACGAAAATGAGAGGACGAAAAGCGAATGTCTGGAGCTTTAACCGGATTCCAAACCAATGGTGCACATGGACTCCAGTATCCTGAGGGAACAAATGGCGTATGAACCAATTATTGGTCACCGGCTACAATGGGACTGTATCTCCTCACGATACTTCACTGCCTTGTGGACCAGAATTTCAGGTCGAAGGCTCGGGTTGTGGCCCCCTAAGGAAACCACCTGCTCCGGTCTGGGCACCCGGGCAGTATCACAGCTCTCACACATATCGAATGAGGTTTGTGTGGCGCATATGTATTTGGTGCCTCCTTGTACCATTATCTATGTTTTAAAATAAATAAACGCATACAAAAATGAATTATATTTTATATAGTTCAGTTGGTAACTAAATGACTTTCTATGTTAGTTATAACAACTGGTTGCTTAGCAGTAAACGATATATCAATTTATTCAATTTGGTTGAACATTATTGATCGATTTGTTAAGTAAACACAATAATAATAAAATCAATTATCATCAACATCATAGAGGTATAATATACTTCCAACGTATATTAGCTAATTAGATAAATGGAAATAAATCAATCAAGATACTCTGGACCTATTTTTTTGAGTTACTTGGCATTTATTAAGAAGGTGTGTATATGTGAACTTAAAGTAATGAATATCACATTGAGATTTGATTGATAGACTGTTCAGTAGTGATTGATCAATCAATTGTAAATATTTCAGATCTAATAATCTCTTAAACTATGAAGCTGAATAACACAGGCTAGAATACCACAGGGAGTATCGATTCCCTCTCAAATTTACACATATATCTTGATGACATATGGCAACTAACATATAACCAGTGTTTACTATCAATTATCTCCATACAACTAACACTTCAATATAGTAGACGTGATTTTAAATGACATGGACTAATGATTGTATTGAAACTTGATTTATTGGATTTAATCTAAACGAATAGACTATGAAAAGACGACATTAATCAACATTTAGGTATTATTTCAGTAGTTGAGATCATGAGTTAGTTAAAGATAGACCACTATGGAGAATCTGGAAGTACTGGAGGGCCGTTTCGTCCTATTGTTGAACTCCTCAACAGTGCGCATCCATGATCCTGCCTAGCGAGATCCGAATCCAGACCAAAACATGGCACAAGTCCATGAAGTCACTGACAAGTAGACTGAGTCATGTTGGTAGGTGTAGACTACCTGGTTGGGGACCGCGAGATGATAGCAACCGATGGTTGGAGACCCTGAATAACATGGCTCAAAATCGTTTGCAATGGCGCAGGTGCATACACTCTTTGTGTTCTCCTAAATTTTAATCTCCTGATTCCTCTTTGTCTTTTTTTCTCTTCCCAAATTTATTTCACTGGATTATACTCCTTGAATAACATCTCTAAACCCTAATCTTTCCGATTACTGCTTATACTCTTACTACCTCTACCACTACGGGATTTGAATCGACAACTGCACCTGTGTGCTAATGTGGTGTGGCAACTCGAACTGATGTACGTACGTACAAAGTTCTACGTTGTTACTCACTGACTGACTGACCTATCAGTATCGTGCTCAAACGCTTAACCACCAGACCACTGAGTCCGCCGGTATCCAACGATGTTAATGTCTAACTCCAACTAATCCACGAAATTCGGCGACACATCCATCATTGTCATCAGTCAGTTACAATCTCTCAACAGATTTGGACGAAACGGCTGTCCAGTGCTTCCAAGTTTTCCATAGTAATCTAGCTTCAATTGATTCATGATCTCAACTATTGAAATTACTATATTAACTTCATAGTTTTCAAATATATTCGTCATAATAATTATATTAACATTGAATTAACAATGTTTTCATGAAGTTTACTTGAAAACCTATTCTTTCGTCTTGGATTTTATTGTCGTCTTTTTTTTTTACTAAAGAAACCATCAAATAAAATACTTTCATTTACTGAATGTATTCCACCTGAAGAACGTTGTCATTGGAAAGAACCAGAAATTATCAAGGAATTCCGTAATCTCAATACGAATGATTGTAATGATGAAACAGATACTATAGATGTTATATGGTTCCCATTGCATTGTTTAGCATCAGATCATTATTATCTAACTATATTAAATAATTCAAATCAAAATTATTCTTTATTGAAACCATCATTACATAATATATTTGATGAAATGTCAATCAATAATCCATTATATAATAATAATAATAATAATAATGAAGCAATGGAAGAACATGCACAGCAACAAGAAACTCAAGCAAAAGATACCGATGGTACAATAAAAATATCAATATATCATCCATTAAGACCAGATAAAATGAATTTCTACATGATGAATGAGAATAAAACGGAAGATATAAATTTAAAGTAAGTTTAATCTTGATAGAGTTTTGTTCTCTGAACTGAATGGTTTAGTCGTGGAGCTTTCATCGTTCTTCTGAACAACATCATCAGCACAAACTTCAGATAGAAGTGAAGTGTTCGAATAGTTTCATAGTATTTAGGCGATGAGTTGGTGTGTGACATCAGAAATAGGAAGAATGTTGTATTTATAAAGTCATAGTGAATGGAATTTAAAGTAAATCTAACGTTTCGTTTGACAATTTGGTTTAAGCTTTTTCAAGGAGATAGCTTAAACCAGATTGCCAGGTCAATACAAATACAACATCCTTCCTTTTTAAAGTAAGTTTGTTTATTCTTTATTATTATTTCATAAAAATCTATTGTAGTAAACTACTGAGTTCAGTAAATAATTCCATATCAATTTTATTATAAAATATTACGTATGCCTGAACACCGATTACCACGACGCGCAATGTTGACTAGTATAGGGGATGGTTGGAAGAAAGTTAGGGGCGGCCAAACCAAAACGTGGCATCAGTCCACAAAGTGACTAACTTCTGTTCTGTGTCATGTTGGTAGATGCAGACTACTTGGTTAGGGTCCATGTGACTATCGTAACCAATCGTCGGAGACTGTGGATGACATAGCTCAGAATCGATCACAATGGCGTAGGTGTATACACTCTCTGTCTTCCCTTAAACTATGAGATTATAATCGCTTTATATCTTTCTTTCTACCAACTAATTCTTTCTTCCTGTACTATGTCCTCATGTGCAATCTTTTTTTTTATATATTACCACCACTGAATTAACCACTCCTATGAATCCAGTGTTCATCTTGTGCTAATGAGATGTGTCAACTTGGACGATGCATATATGTGCCTGGTCCTACGTTGTAGCTGACTGACTGATTACACTATTCATTCGATTAGAAGATTAGTTTAAAAGATTACTTACTTACTTACGCTTGTTACCGCTCGTGGAAGAGCATAGGCCGCTCACCAGAATTCTCCATCCAACTCTGTCTTGGGTAATTCTTTACAGTTGTTAGCAGTTGCTATTCTCCCTTTACATATCTGCTTCCGATTTCCGGTGTAATGTGTTCTTTGGCTTTCCACGTTTCTGCTTCCCTTTAGGATTCCAAGTTAGTGCTTGCCTCGTGATGAAGTTTGATGATTTCCGTAATGTATGTCCTATCCACTTCTAACATATTTTCCTAATTTCTTCTTCACTCGGAAGCTGGTTTGTTCTCTCCTATAGTAGACTTTTGCTGATGATATCCGGTCAAAGGACATTCAGTATCTTGCGTAGATAACTTTCTATAAATACTTGTATGTTTTTGATAATGGTTGTAGTTGTTCTCAAAGTTTCAGCTCCATAAAGTGGAATTGTCTTGACGTTCGTATTGAAGATTCTGATCTTGATATTGGTTGAATTCCATATGTTCTTCAATTGTAGGAATGCGACCCTTGCTTTGCCAATTTTGCTTTTACCTCTGCATCTGATCCTCTTTGTTCATCGATGATGCTTTCCAGGTACGCGAAAGATTTCAACTCTTCCAGAGTTTCTCCACCAAGTGTGATTGGGTTGGTGTTCTTCGCGTTGCATTTGAGGATCTTGCTTTTCCGTTTGTGTATGTTGAGGCCTACTGCTATATTGGCTGTCTTTATCTGCATTTGTTCGTGTGTATGAGATAGAAAGTCAGGTCATTTGTGGAATCCTAATCGTCTAATTGGTTTTGAGCTGTCCGTTGTATTCCGTGTTTTCTCTATGATATCGAGGTCTTTATAATCTAGATAAAGTCATACAAAACACTTGAATCTATCTAATAAATATAAAACGATTTACATGTTACAGATCAATCTATATAATCATTTAAGTAAGATAACTATTAAAAATATTAAGTTTTGTGTATCAGATGGATTAATAGAAAGGCTCTTATAATCCTATTGAATCAGGTTAACAGCTTCAATATCATATAGAAGTCTATTTCACGAGTATTGAATTGAACTCTTAGGGTGATCTTGTTTGTAATTGATTGATTGACGTTGTTAAAGACTTTGATACTCCTATATTTATTTAAATTTTAATGAGCTGTTTGTTTAACCGACATTCACCTATGTCAATGATATTTCTTATTTTCATACATTGAAAGATTGATATGTATCAACAGTATCCATTTACTATAGACTAATCTCAGTTCAAGGCTTTTAGATATGACATATATAGCCCGAATAGCCCAGTGGTAATGTCTCTAATTATGAAGCTGGGTGACATGGGATCGAATCCGTCAGGGAGTACCAGTTCCCTCAAGATCAAGGGTATACCTTACTGATGAGTGCCAAATAGCACAAAACTCAGGTCCAAGGGTTTACTGTTGACTACCTCCAACCGCCATCTTATCTCAACATAGTGCACCTAATGTCAAGTCACCTAGACTAGTGGTCACATTGCGATTTGATCAATCTGCACTAAAAACGATTTGATACATGACATTGATCACCACTCATCCAATGATCAATCAATTGTGAATAAATATGAACGTAATACGACATGATCTTTGATCATAATACCTTTTTTGGCGAGACTCTATTTTATGGACGACCTTTGAACAAATCTTCAGTGATTTTGAAAATTATTGGCCAATCAGAAGACAGTTAGTATAAAGTAAAAATATAAGAAACTAATGAATTACAGTGGATGTTCTTCTTCTACATGATTTAAAAACTTGTTAAGGTTTGATAAAGGTTCAATGTTCTGAAATCATAATGCATATGATATAGGAACTCGTCCATATGGCTCCATAACAGTCGTCCTCTGGAGCCATGATACAGTCTTAAAAATTCCTTCAATCTAGACCACATGGCTTCAATGTTATTAGTATGAACCCCGGTAGTAGGGTCGACAAAATGGAGTTTATGCACTACGACATGATGGACATACCCAAGTCCATGAAGGCATCTATACGCTCTCCAATCATTTGTATATGCCGTAGTGCCCGGCTGCACGTATTCCTTTATAATTGGTATTATTGTACTTGCTTGACGGTTTCTCATACTCTGGAAATGGCCCTTTTGTGTTGAGCGATCATAAATTCCAAATACCTGTCAAGTACATTTACGGAAGTGCTACGTACCCACTCTTCCTTGATACTACGTCCCCTGTTGTATTTTTGCTTTCTCACTACTGTTTCACCTATTTCCACAATTCTCCCGACTCCCCCGAATGATTCGTGTAAACTTGTCGTTTTAAGTGCACATATATCACGTCAATACTCATACCGCTGGACGGCTGAAGTTTCAATAACATCTGCAAATGCTGAAGCTAGTGTTACTGATGCTTTTATAATCCAAATTGCAACTATTATCATGATTTGCCTTAGTCTCAGTCGCGATCGAGTGAAGAAAGTCCCCGTTAGAGCAGACTTTTTTCTCCAACATAAACAACAACGAAATACAATCTCATCACGATAGTCTGCACACTGTACTGCAGTCATTTGATAACCGCAGTCACAGGTAAAGGAACTTCTTATTAGTCTCATCTCTTGTAGCTGCTCAATAATCACCTCTTCTTTAAAATCCGCTGTAAATCGATCGTATGTGAGCATCAGGTATTGAACTTGACCCCGTGACCTTGAAATTCCTTACACGTTTCTAATTGGCTCGTTCATAAATTAGAGTTTCACCCATTTTACTTCTTCCTCATTTGTTTCTTTTCTTTTTTTTGTATTTTCAGTGAAATCAATCAAAGTAGTACAATGTTACCATCATTAGTAATGGAATATGAAGAACAAAAATATATTAAAGCAATTTATTATCGTAATCATTTATTACAATTAGCTAGTCGACTAGTTCGTTGTTATGATAGAGAAATTCATTTATTCCGTCATCAACGTTATCAATTAGGTGTATTATTAAAACGTTCTGAACTATATCAATCTACATTATATAATGAATATTGTTTATTAAAAGAATTTGAAAAATCTGAATATGTTTTAATGGAAAAAATGAAAAATAGATTAGAAGAAAAACAAGATATTACTAATAAGGTAAGTTGAACAAGTTGAATATGTTGAATTCAAATACTTACTCCTGTTACTCCTACATGGAGGAACATAAGCCGCCTACCAGCATTCTCTATCCGACCCTGTCCTGGGAAATTCTTTCTAGCTCCTTCTAGTTGTTATTCATCTTTTTTATATCTGCTTCTATTTCTCGATGTAATATATTCTTCGGCTTTTCACTTTTGCGTTTCCCTTCAGGATTCCAAGTTAGGGTTTGGTGGCCCTTTGCTCTGACTCCAATTTAGAATGTACGAGTGTTTGCTATCGCCTTATTCTCGTATATCATTGTCGACTTAAATCGCGTTATCCAATAACGGAATTAAATAAGTCGAATAACGAGAATTGACTTGAGAATACATATATTTCGTACATGAAGTGAATGAAGCACACAAAAGTAAAATGACACGTATGGAAGATGGCTGGGAAGCCAACTCCTTTTTAGTCGAGCGTTACTCAATATTTATAGTCAGACAAAAATAAACTACAAACATGTGATGAGTCATGGGACATGAAGTGTACACACATATAAGCTCATATATAAAAACAGTCAAGACTAATAAGCGAATAATTGACAAGGTCAAAATATGAATAAAATGGAATGTCCGAAAACTAGAATATAAGATATATGGGCTTAAAATAATGACTGACACTACAAGGGTTTACCTTGGGATGTTGTTTGGTGATTTCCATAATGTATGTCCTATCCATTTCCATCATCTTTTCCTAATTTCCTCTTCAGCTGGAAACTGGTTTGTTCTCTCACACAGTAAGCTGTTGCTGATGGTATCCGGACATTATAATCTGAAAGTAATTGGTTCACTATAAAAGCTTAAAGGTTCAACAATCCTGTCTAGAATGATAGCTAAAGTTATATAATTAAACTATTCACCTCGAAACACTTATCATTATCTTAAAGGATTCATCTGAGCTAGGAATTATATCTACCACTTCATAATGTGTAGACACTTGACTTCTATCTTCATTAAATGAAAAATCGACCTATCACAATTCATACATTTGAAGTTGATCTTAATGATTAAGAACTTATTCGCTGACTTTTCATTCAATTCATATCTAAAATGGGTTAATTAATGAATATCTCTTAATGTGGTGTGTGTTCCTGATGTCAACAGACATAAATAGTATCTATCATCAATCGAAAAAGTAGGACTTGGCAGCAGAAGGTTAAGAAGATCGAAGAAAAAAAAAGGAACAAGAACAGAGAATGAATGGTGTGGAAACGAAAAAAAAAACAATAAAGTTTGAGACGACTGATTAACATTTTGCACTATTTACTATATATGGTTCTCAGATTGTATACTAAGATGTTCAAATACAGTCGATTCTCCCCACTGCTATTCTCCTTCACTATACTACTAATATAGACTCTTATTTTATTGTTCTATTTCATTTGAAGTACAGATTAGTTCGCAATAAAATTTTAACACATATTTTTGTTGGAAAAAATGATCACTAACAATTTCACTGAAGACAATCGTGGACAGTGACTCAATTTTATGGATTGGTTGAAGTTAAACAATAACACCGTTGGATACCGGTTTATTGATCTAAAGTTTAAGCGTACTCGTACGAGACCGATAGGTTTTTGGTTCGAATCCTACAGGGAGGAATTGCGGATACGTACTGTTGATGAATTCTATACCACGACGAAATAGCTATCCAATGGTTGCAGATTTTCCATAGTGATTTAGCTTCAATTAACTCATGATCTTAACTATTTTCAAATTACTACAATCTCTACAAAATACCCCTTTCTGATAATCATTTCATTTCCTTTTTTTTTTAAATTTTATTTTAAAGGTAAATGAATTAACTTTGAAACTTGAACAAAAAAAGAAAGATCTAGAACGTCTTTCTCAACGTGAACATCAAATTCATGAAGAATTTAAAACAAGTTTAGATGATTCACATAAATTTATAGAATTTCTTACAAAAGTATTTAAAAAACGTATTAAACGAAAGAAGCAAGAATTAATTGATTCAGGTAAATTGTAGCAGATCAATTATACATTCTAATATCTTTTTAAATTAGTGGGATAATTTAAGGTAAGGAGGAGGGAGATTTTGACCAACGCTTGTATATTGTCATAGTTAGAGACTTTAGCGTTGAATTATACAACCCTCGACTGAACGCTTGTAGGACTGAAGTAGTAACTCACTGATGACAATGGTGGATGTGTCGCTCAATTTCGTGGATTAGGTGAAGTTAGACATTAACACCGTTGGATGCCGGTCGGCTCAGTCATCTAGTTGGTTAAGCGCCTGGAGCGAGACTGATAGATTTTGGGTTCGAATCCCACGAGGCGAGGTCGTGGGTGCGCACTGCTGAAGAGTCCAAAAATAGGACGAAACCACCGTCCAGTGCTTCCAGGTTTTCCATGGTGGTCTAGCTTCACTTGACTCATGATTTCAACTGTTGAAAAGATCTACATCAGTTGATCAAAGAGTTGATTATGAATATACTGCGCGGCAATTCGTTCTGTTCTACTTTATGGCTACGAAACGTGGCCATTAATAGCAGAGGATACTCGTAGGCTACTAGTATTTGACCACAGATTTCTTAGAAATATTGCTCGCATCTGTTGGGATCATCGGACAAGTAATAGTGAGGTTAGACGCAGAGTATTAGGGAATGATGGTAAATGAGTTGATGGAGTTGTAAATCTTCATCGACTAACGTCGTTGGGTCACGTGTTACGTATGCCTGAACACCGATTACCACGACGCGCAATGTTGACTAGTATAGGAGATGGTTGGAAGAAAGTTAGGGGCGGCCAAACCAAAACGTGGCATCAGTCCACAAAGTGACTAACTTCTGTTCTGTGTCATGTTGGTAGATGCAGACTACTTGGTTAGGGTCCATGTGACTATCGTAACCAATCGTCGGAGACTGTGGATGACATAGCTCAGAATCGATCAGAATGGCGTAGGTGTACACACTCCCTGTCTTCCCTTAAACCGTGATATTAAAATCTCTTTATGTCTTTCTTTCTACCAACTAAATCTTTCTTCCTGTACTATGTCCTTATATGCAATCTTTCTTTTATATATTACTACCATTGACTTAACCACTTCTATATATTTGATATTCATCTTGTTGTGCTAATGAGATGTGTCAACTTGGACGAATGCATATATGTGCCTGTTCCTATGTTGTAACTGACTGACCAAAAAGTTGTAACCAGTTTTATTTTGTCTGGTCTTTAGACTGCTATAAAATTAAACTGTTGATCACATATTTACCATTTACTCATTATAATAACCCATTGTAAATACTTACTGTATATCAATAAAGAAAACAATTCAAAATCTCCACTTGAAATAAAGTTTAATCGGTGTAAACCAACGCTGGACGTTAGCAGATTCATTGATTGGTAAAAACGAGGGGTAACATTAATGCAACATCATTTTGTACTAATCACTGCCATCATTTAAGTGACTTTTGAAGCTCATGAAATCTTGTCAATTGAGTTGGAATGTGCCCAACAAGCTAAAGAATCAACAAAATAACATTGATCACGCGTCAGTAATCCTTCAGTGTAGATTTCTTTGTTGACGCTGGAATACTGTGAATATACGCATTTATTTATTTATCACAATCATTCGTTCGTTCGTTTCATTTAGATAGATTACCAAAATAATAACGGCACATCACAGTGATTTTTTAGTAAACAAGTTGGTTTAAGGGATAGTTTTGTTAGCGTGTTTAGTAACTTACACTGTCATTCCAGACAATATTACCAGTAGCTGATTCATATGGGGGTGAGTTTATAAAGATTGAAGGATACAGCAGTGAAATCCTTACGATCCATGGTTTAATACAACGATTTTTACTTATTTATTAATTTAAACACAAACATTGGTACCTGGATGCAGCAAATAGATATGCGCCACATAAATCATTCGATTTGTGTGAGGGCTGGGATACTGCCCGGCTGCCCAGACCGAAGCAGGTGGTTTTCTTAGGTGGCCACACCCAGAGTCTTCGACCTAAGGGTCTAATCCACAACGCAATAGAGCAACATCAGGAGATACAGTCTCATGGTAGTCGGTGACCAAATATAGGTTCCTACGTCATTTGTTCCCTCAGGATGCTGGTGTCTTTGTGCACCATTGGTTTTGAATCAGGGTTTTCCAACTCCCCTAGGTGAACTCTTTATGTCCACTAACCCGGTTAAAGTGCCGGACATTAGCTTTTTGTCCTCTCAGTTTCATAAACAACACCCCCGCTGCGAGAAGAAAATCAGTAGGACTTCCCTGGCAGTGGTTATATGCACGTGGTCGTTTGAAAGCATTTAGAGATAGAGAGCTGACTTTCTCTACTATCCGCTGTACCAGGGTAATTGGGGGAAAATACAACGATACTAACAGTTGTCTGAATAAAATTTAGATACCACTAGATTTATTTTGTTTCATTTTTTTTCAAAAAAATTTCAAGGTTCTGATGATGAATCAGAAGAATCTTCTTCATCATCATCTGATGATGATGATTCCAGTTACGAAGAAATAGATGATGAAAATGAAAATGAAGATGTTGTTATTATGGATTTAGATATATGTCCACCAGGTTGTCCAATGGAAGATTTTGAACGTACTTGTTTAATTAGAGAGAAACGTCTAGATGTTGAAGAAGAAATGACTGAAGAAAAGAAAACATTAGATATATTACGTAAAGATTTAGATATATTTACTAAAAAACAACGTGTTGTTGAAACAACATTAAAACAAGCTCAAAATGAATTGGAAGCATTTCAGGTAAAGAGTAATTTAAGCATATCAATGTCTTTAAGAATGTTTTTCTTTTAAATAGGAGGGTGTTCCTTGCAATGATAATTCTTTTGCTGGGCTGGGACTCATAGTTTGTCCAATGGTTAGTGACCTTGAACGACATGGCTCAAAATCGTTTGCAATGGCTCAAGTGCATCTGCTCTTTGTGCTCTCCCACATTCTAATCTCCTGAATTCTTCATGTCCCTTTTTTTCCTCTTTCCAAATTGACTTCACTGGATTATACTCCTTGAATAACATCTCCAAACTCTATTCTTTCCGATTACTGCTTACACTCTTACTACCTCTACCACTACGGAATTTGAATCGACAACTGCATCTCTGTGCTAATATGGTAGGGCAATTCGAACTGATGTACATACGTACGAAATTTCTACGTTGTTACTGACTGACTGACTGAATGTCATTCTGATTCAGCTGTTGATTCTCGGGCTGGAATTCTACTCTACGTACTACGATTCTGGTACATTATTGATATTATCAACCTTTATGAAATGAAATGTGTAGCTCAAGTACCAAGTACTTAAACTTATTATTATTAATTACAAATAGTTCAAAGTGAGATCTTTGTTGATGATGTTGTTTGGAAAGTCAATGAACAATTCATGATGCTTAGAAAAAGCAACATAATCGAAATTTTTACCTTAAGTTACAAATCTTCTTTACTGTTTCCATAACTAATTATGCAACTTGTATCCATCAAATGTCAGTTGTACAACCGGAATATCAGGCTTTTCGAAATCATTGTCTTTAAAGAAATATTAGTCTTCAAATGATTTTGAAAACTATCTACCTAAAGAATATTAATAAGCTTAGAATCTAAATTCATACTTATCAGTAAGTTGTCTCTTATTACGGGAAAGTTTCAGAACATTAGCAGAAGATATATTAAAGCTGAATCATCTTCGAAGTTTAAATCGTCTAATTGGATGCAAGCTGTTCATTGTATTCTATGCTTCCTCTCTGATGTGGAGGCCTACATAATCTAGTCAACTATCAGAAGAAAAAGAAGAGGGGAGTAAGCATTCCTGTCTGACACCGGTCCTCACTTGGAATACATCTGTGAGCTATCCTTCATGTACGACATTATAGTATAGTTCGCCAGTAGCCTCTCTACGGTTACTGCAGCTCCAAGCACATGGAAAAGAGGAGGATTGAGCATCAGGTCAGTAACTCCATCCTTGGGAGTTAACTTTTCTAAAGGAACGCTAACCAGAAAAAACAATCCTTCTTGGTAACTATTGAAAATTAAATTTTCATGGTTTAATTTACGTTACTTTATGATTTAGGATCTTTTAGATACTACATTCTAGACTGCTTTATTCATTAATTTATTTATTTATTTGAATACATAAATATTGGAACAAAGGGGCATTGAATGCATATGCGTCAAACAAATCTCAATTGATTTGTGTGAGCTGTGATATTGACTGGGTGCCCAAACTGAATCAGGTAGTTTTCGTAGCAGGCCACACTCGGAGCCTTCGACATAAAGGTCTGGTCCACAAGGCAATGGAGCAACGTAAGGAGATGAATTCCAATGGTAACCGATAACCGACAATAGATTCACACCCCATTTGTTCCACCAGGATCATGGAGTCTTTGTGCACCATTAGTTTTGAATCAGGGTTTTCCAACTTCCCTAGATGGATGTTCTGTATCGACCAACCTGACTAAAGCGCCTGACATTCGCTTCTCGTCCTCTCACTTTCATAAACAACACCCCCGCCACGAAAAGTCAGTGAGTAGGACTTCCCTGGCAATGACTGTATATGCATGACCATGTGAGATCATTTCGAGAGGGGAAGCTAACTCTCCCCACCCTCAGCCGTATCAGATCATTTGGCGACTTTATTAATCCACATATTTGAACAAAAGTTTGCTTATAATCGAAATTCTACTTGGTCTATAGTACACATTCATTCTATCATCTACCTTCTTCTTTCTATTTGTTTGATAGTTTCAATTTCTTTGTTTGTTTATTTCAGTTAGAAAAACAACGTAAATTGAATGAATTGGAAATTGTTGTTATATTACGATTAGATCAAATAGCTCAACATTCTATTCCATCGGATATGACAAATAGTTTAATATTTTTAAAGCAGAATTTATATTCATTACAAAAACGTATTCATGAATTAGAATTAGAGCAGAAACAACAAAGAATTGAAAGAAAACAAGCCAGAACACATCATATTATGTTACAGAAATATAAAAAATTATTCCAGGTTAGTTTTGAGGGGCGGGGTCGCTTACGTCATGCCCAACCCTCCTCTTATATCTGAGCTTTGGGACCAGCAGTACCCCAGAGGGGCCCCAGGCGGAGTTTTATATATATTTATATACTAGTTATCGATAAATGGAAGATTCTGTTGACTATTCTTTTAATGCCATTTCAAAGGTACATGTAATAGACCTCTTGCTTTGCCAATCTGTGCCATCACATCCACCGTTTTCATCAATGATGCTGACAGATACGTAAAGACTTTTACATCCTACAAAGCTTCTCTGTCAGATGTCATCCGATTGTTGAATACTGTGTTGTATCGGAGAATCTTGCTTTTCCCTTTGTGTATATTGAAACTTACTGCTGCTGAGTCTTCTGATACATTGGTCGTCTTTATCTGTATCTGTTTTTGCGTGTGTGATAGAAGAGACAGATCACCTGTGAAGTCTAGATCGTTCAGATGTATCCTAGATATCCACGACATCCCATCCTTCCCCTCAGATTTTGAGATCCTCAGGATGCAGTCGATCACCAGGAGAAAGAGAAAGGGTGAGAGTAAGCAAGCTTGCCTGACACCGGTCTTTACTTCGAACGAGTCTGTCAGCTGTTTTCCATTATGGTCCAGTTTTAATTGACTCATGAGTTCAACTATTATTGATGTAATGGATGATTTAAAATATATTTCTCTCTCTCCCCATCTGAGGTATACTACGCTAATACAATAAATAATATAACAAGCCTGTTCGAGTGACCAAGATTATAATACCACTAGATCGGATACTCGAATAGTACTTAACACAGAGACTAAACTTTGCTTTACAATTCAAAATACTATTTATAGATTTACAATTATTTGACAGAAAACCAATTTAGTGAATACACACTTCGATATTGATTCAAAAAGTTCCATAATTCAACCAATAATCTTGTTGATAAGTCTGATGATCATAAAGTATAAACTATAGACAATAATCCCTATTAATTATCATGTGACTTATTCGTCAATCGAACTACAACTTAGACAATCTTAGTACTGTGCTAAACCAATGACGCATTGACCAGTATGAGAAGCTTAGCATCCCCACTGGTCCATTGTTCTCCTAAGCCTACTAGTTGAGTCCAGAACATCGATAACAGCTTCCACTATACAAATCATTTAGTTCAAACATGCTTAGTTTATATGCAAACCAAACAGACCACATCGTACCACAAAATAGGAAATAACATTTATACAAGATCAAGCCATAAAAGTGGCTGTGATTAAAGGAGACTGTAATGAATAAACTGGACATAACTTAAGAACAGTAAATCGTATAATAATAGTCTATAGATCAAAACAAAGCTTATGATAAGAGGAATATAGATATAGATAATCTAGTTATTGAATAGTTATGCAATAAGAATATATGTATATGTCCATGAAGAATTCTCAAAAGTTACCTATAGTTTGATCTTCACTAGGATATAACAAAAACTATTACTGAAGGATGAAAACATTTAAAACAATCGGTATATGTATTAAAAGAAATCGACCTACTGTTATAACTTGTGATCACCGATTAGAGGACAGTGACTTATCGATCAGACCGAGGACGCGTAAAACACGTGCGAGCAGCCTAGAGTCCTGATTGGTCCTGCTTTCCGCCTATCCCAGCCAGTTAAGTTCAGAACATCAGTCTCAGCCTCTGCAATATGAATCATCATATTTATACAGGCCACAACGTAGCATAAAATAGAAAATAACATTAGTACGAAATTTGGCCAAATGTGGCTGTGAATGTGGGAGGCAGTGACTAATAGACAGGGCATAACTCAAGAATGGTAAATCGTATTATAATAGTTCATAAGTCAAAATAAAGTTTATAATAAGAGGAATATGAGTATGAATAGTTTAATTATTTAACAATTATACAATAAAAGTATACACATAGTATTAGTCCATGAATAGATTTCAAAAGTTACCATTCATTATGTTTATTGGGACATAACAGATTACGGTTGGATGACCTAAATATACGGCATTCATCGATTGGTCCGTAAATGGATCCTAAAAGTTATCATTCATTATTCTTGTCGGTACATAACACTTACTCAAATATTTTGTAGAGATTTATTTAATTAATTAGAAGGTTACCTATTCTAGTTTACGATTGTTCATAAGTGCTCATTAACGACCAAAAAACAGGATAAAACTCACGTAACTAAGTTCATGAATTGTCTCAGATTTTATTATTCTTACATTTCCATATCAATTTTTTCTGTTTCTGTTCTTCTCTTCTTGATCTTCTCAATCTTCTGCTACTAGATATATCCTATTCCTGACTCGTGTTATATACTACTTATGTCGATATAAGTAGCATGCACCACATAATCTGTTAGAAAGGAAATATATAAACATTTGAGTATGTTTTCTAAATAGAATTATTATTACTATTCATTGTATAACTTTCTAATAAACTTGATTTTCTCCATAATAGAAAGAAATAGAGAAATTATCAGCTTTATGTGATAAAGAAATGAATGATAAATTTGGTAGAATAGATGATATTGAAAAAATGGAAAATGTTATAGTAAATCCTAAACTAGAAGATTTAACAACAAAAATGTTGGCACTACAAGAGGAATTCACAAAAGAAGAAGCGAATATAGAGGTTGGTATTTGTTGTTTTGTTCTTTCAATTACAAATTGTTCTAGATGATAATTCTCAAACGATAATTACATTTTGAGTTCCAGAAACAATCAAGATGCATTGAATATTCTTTTCATCTTAGTGTAGGACTCATCGATAGAATGTGAATCGAATGTTATTTCAGGAGTTAAGATTGAGACAGGATTTTCCAACTCTTCTAGGTGGATCCTCCGTACTCACCAACCCGGTAAAAGCGCTGGACGTCCGCTTTTCGTCCTCTCAATCTCTTAGACAACACCTGTGGCGCGAGAAGGCAACGAGTAGGATATCTCTGACAGTGGTTATATTCACTTGGCCATGTGCGATCATTTAGACTGTCTTCAGTGTCAGCCGCACCAGGGCATTTGGGGGCAAGTATTTAGTCCCATACAAAGATGAAACATGTTTAATGCATATTGTAGTTTAATGGTTTCAGATTTAATTCCTACAAAACTATAACAAACAATTCGCCATTTATGTTTTTATCAGGAATCGTTACAATCTTGCAAATAAAGTGTAAAGGATTTGTCGAAACTGCTGAATGTTATAGTGTACATCATGAATTAACTTCAATCAGACAACTATTGAAAACTCTGGGGCATTAGACAGTAGTTTCATTCTAATATGAGGCTCCTCAGCATTGCCCATTTACGATCTTACTAAAGACTGGACTTACAACCTTCAAATCTTTTGTTGTTCAATTAATTTGGATCCAATAGTTCACATTTCCTAGCTTCAATCAGTTCATGATATTTCTCAACCACCTTCTAATCCCTATAACAGGATGACTGACTTTCATCCGACTTAGTCATAATCCATTGATCACAGCTTCACGTGGATTTTCAATACTGAAAAGGATAAACATATCTAACATCAATCGGTTCATGATCTCAATCAAAAACCTTAACAATCTCCACAACCCCTAAACTGATAATTACCATGTGCTCACTAGTGACTAGCTTCGTGAGAAAATTCTTGGAGTTGTAATGAAAGTCCGTGACCAGTGGAGCTAATCCGTGTCGGGTAGAGACAGGTATCTACGTCAGTACAATGGAAGATGGTCGCGCAATTTCGTGGATTAGTTGAGGTTAGACATTAACACCATTGAATACCAGCTCAGTGGTCCAGTAGGTTAATCGTTCACGCACGATACTGAAGGCCCTGTGTTCGAGAGCTGCGAGAGGGATCGTGGTTGAGTACTGCTGAGGAGTCCCACGATAGGATGAAACGGCCGTCCAGTGCTTCAAGGTTTCCAACGGTGGTCTAACATCAATCGGTTCATGATCTCAATCAAAAACTTAATAATCTCCACAACCCCTATACTAGTAAAATTATGATACTTTATTTATTGAATTCGCTGAACATTGATAATAATTTGTTTGTTTTCTTCTATGATTCTTATTCTAATCAATTTGGTTAAATATAATAAATGAAGGCTAAAATACGTGATGCAAGAGATTCATGTATGGGACAAATACGTCAAAATACGGTTTATTTAACAAAATTATTAACACTTTTCAATGAAAATCAACAATTACAAAATGATTTGAATCAAGCAAATGGTGCAAAAGTAAGTGAACATTGGTTGTGTTTATTTATAGACATATTTATGTGTTTTCAAGAAGATAAACAAAACACGGTTATTGGAGAATTACTTAAGCCTGTTACCCCTTATGGAGGAGCATAGGCAACCAACCAGAATTCTCCATCCAACCCTGTCCTGGGCAATCCCTTTCAGTTCTTTTCGGTTGTTATTTATCTTTTTCATGTTTACTTTCAATTGCTGATGTAGTGTGTTCTTCGGCTTTCCATTTTTCCGTTTCCCTCAGACTAAAAGTTAGGGCTTACCTTGTGATGCAGTTTGATGATTTCCATAATGTATGTCTTATCCACTTTCAATGTCTTTTCTTAATCTGTTCTTCAGCTGGAAGCTGGTTTGTTCTTTCCCACAGTAGGCTGTTACTGATGATATCTCTTGAAGAATTAGTTAGTGAATATAAATAATAAGTTTTGTACCACGATTACGACTAAACATTTCAGCTCCATCACAATATAACTCTTCGCCCACTAAAAATTAACCTTGAGTAGTGATGAGCTAATTTTGACGCACTTTCTTCTGTACTCTCAGTCTTCAATTCATTGAGAAAACATAACGAGAAGCTAAAATTCCTAGTGTGCAGAATTTATTATCGATCACACAGGTATTGGGTATATTTCTGACTACCTAGTAACAATTAGGAAATTACGGTATACGCATAACTATGCCCTAGATGAAGTAGAAAAGGAGTAATAGATCATTAACGAATGAAGAAAGTATAACCATAATTTATGGGTCAGCCGATAGCTTACAATGCTCAGAATAAAAAACTCAACAATCCAATTATCACTTTATGTCCGCAAAAATAAACAGATTTTACTGTTTGATTATTTGGGCCCGTAAGATTATACCTTAAGATAGGAGAAGAGTTGTATTTATCTAGTCCGACTAATGATTGGCCCATCCAGATTGTCTGTGTAGTACCAATGGCCTTCGGTAAACTAATTGGACGACAAATGTGAGATAATAGCATAGAGTAACACTAAATGACTATTTGTCCAAAATGCTATTTCCGACTATCACTCACCAGATAGACCGAACGGAGAACAAATCAGCAAGCAAACAACTTGTAACTATACAATTCAAAGTTGTGAATCACTAATCACACAATAATATAGAGCAAATTCCTGATCAAACACTAACAGAATTAAGAAATTACAATGGAATGAGAGGGGGTAACTGTGTCATAAGTGAAATAGAACTGAATGATGGAACCATAATGAAATAACAATAATTTAGGAAAGATAAAACATACAACGATCAATTCCGCGTCAAAGATTACAGGTAGAAGAATACAAGACTACGATAATTTAGCAATTGCAGCAATTCGGAAGACTCTTCCGGTCTCCCACATTGTACGAGCATTCCATATACCTAAATAAATGGTTGCGTTGGTTGTCAGAAGAGGCATCAGTCTCGTGAATTCCGAAGGAACTCGGCTTTCGCCACGAGGTGTCATAACTCTTCTAAATGAAGACCTTTTGATACCCAGGGCAGACTATGAATAGTTTGAATGTTTTTTCCTGGTTAGCGTTTTTGTTGTAACGGGTGGGACTGCAGGTTTTTGATAAGCAGCGTTTAATCGACCGGTTACAGTGGACACGTAAACACGTAGCGGACGACCAGAGCCCTGATTGGCCCCGCTTCGCAGTCTGTCCTAGCCAGTTGAGTCAAGAACACAAGTCACAGCCTCTGAGTTATGAATCATTGTATTTCAGACATACTCTATTTATATACCAAACAAACAAACCACATCGTACCATAAAATAGGAAACAACATTTACAAAATATTTAACAAGTGAAATAAACATCGACCAATAAGAAATGTACATTTAAGTTCCAAGGCCACCATAGACTTAACACGATAATTATTGGTATATTTTCCGACTATCCTAACAGTTTTTTAGCGAGTTCTTTTTCTACGGGATGGTGTCGCTAACCCCATGCCCAACCCTCCTTCTTTATCCGGGGTTAGGACCGGCAGTAGCCCCAGAGGGGCTTCACGTGGAGTTATTATAATTTAAGTAATCATTAATTATACGACAAAGCTTTAAATATTAACTTCGAAAGTCCTATTTTTGCCTAATGTTTATCTCGATATAACACCATCATAAAAATATATACAATAATTTGCATATGTAATGGTTCCAAACGTCATAACTATCTCCGTATCCTCTTCGTTATATATCAATTTTGAAAATTCTCTTTAGTTGATGATTTCGAAAATAGACCAAGATATTTGTTTAATGCTTGTTAATCTTCAGCAACTCTTCAATTGATGTTTGTTCTTGATTAAAACATCTATTTTATTGCTTAACCGGTTATGAGTTGCCTACTTCAAATACTACTGTATATGGTAAGCTATCGACTTCCCATTCAGAAGTTTTCACTCATTGTCAATCAAAATATTGACAAGTCAATAGAGTACTTTGCATAATTATTCAACTACAAACATGATAGGTCTTGCTAACTGAACGCTAGATTTGGTTCCTAAACTCTTCTAGTAACCTTCAGGCTAGAACTACACAGCGACTGAACACAAGAGAAAAGGCGTGAAATATGTATGAAACATTTTACTCCATAGTTTTCTTTATTTACAAAAAAATCTAGGGTTTTTATAGTATTTTAAATGTCCTTGGGTCCCCCAAAAATTCTGGAATTTTACAAAACATAGTAGCAGTATAAGTAATCATCCAATCAGAAACTCTACATGTGACTTCTCACTTCCTTGATGTTTCTAATGAACGTTGATTTAATAAGATGCTTCTCAGTGTTCTCAGAGCCCTTCTTGGCTTTTTTTAGAGGAGTTTTCTGGATCTCCCCAACAAAAAACCACGTCATCATAATACATGTCATGCATATTCACGACGTATCATTAATAACGAATCCCCGTATATTCTGAATTACAATCTTTTTTTGATATAAAAGTCTGATATATAAATTTAGAATTAGTTAGCAACAATCTAAAAATGAACATAAATAGTAAATAGGTTCATTGATAAAAACGCTTCTAAAATATCTCATTTCCATATAATCATCTAAAAAATATCTTAAACAGAACAAAATGAAGTTAGGTGATGAATGGATTCATTGTATTTCGTTAGGTTCTCATCAGCTGTTTACAATCGATCAGATTTGAAAATCAAAGTTATTACAGATATTGACCTCTTTATAACAAATACGAAGGTGATTAGAGATGAATCTATGTGTATTATAATGTAGTAAAGATTCCAATCGAGTTCATTAGGGTCATAAAAAATTGTTTGTTTTGGATAAATGAATAAAGTTTGAGAGGGAAACTTCCAGAACATTGGAATAATGAATAAAAACTCATGAAGTTAACAAACATTAGATGATTATGTAATGGACTAACTGAAGATAGATTAATGACAATAAAAAGAAAGGTATGTCAATTGAAGCTAGACCACCATGAAAAACCTGGAAGCACTGAACCGCCGTTTCCTCCTAGTATGGGACTCCTCAGCAGTGCGCATCCAAGATCCCGCACCCCACGAGATTCGAAACCAGGACTATCAGTCTCGCTCCAGGTGCTTAACCAACTAGACCACTGAGCCGGCTGGCAATCGACGGTGTTAATGTCTAACTCCAACCAATCCACGAAGTTGCGCCACCGTACACCATTGTCTTCAGTGAGCTGATATCACACAACAGACCTGGTTGAACTCCACAAGTAACGACTTCTCACTAGAACTCCAGGAGTATCTCCTGAAGTCAATCACTAGTGAACTGGTGATTATTATCAGAATGGATTGAAGAAAGATGATGATGATGATGATGATGTAATTTTAAACTTCAGAAAGAGTTGAAATAATGAATGACGTAATAAATAAAGAAGAGAGGGGTTGTAATGTTATCAGGGCAAAGAAAGATTTATTACTCCTTCTGTTTGCATCCATAGAACAATGTATCGACACAGGATATCAAATCGATACATTGAGGTCTATCATGATCATTAATAAAAAATAATCAAACTCTAATCTTCTGAAATATGCCTAAATGATAATGATCAGATGTCTGATCTATATCCTACATCATAATACTTATCGATTCATTTCCAATCACCTTCGTAATTACTATCAAGATGTCAATATCTGTAATAATATTGATTTTAAAATCTGATCGATTGTAAGTAGCTGATAAGTATCTAACATAATGAGTCCATTTATTATTCTGCACCAATTTTCATTCTTACTCTCTATTGATCATAATAAAGAGAACTATGTATACAAAAACACTATCTATTAATGCTTTATTTAATCAATTTACCACCCCCTAATTTTTTTTGTATCCATATTGATCATTTGAAAAGTACCATTATTGTTTATTATGATTGTTATTTTGCACTATTATAATCTTTCCTTTTTTCTTCAATTTTTTTTAGATTGGAACTATTCAAAGTTCATTAGGAATTGTTGATTCGAAACAATTAAAACAACTTTCACAATTAGTTAAATTACAAAGTGATGAGATTAATAGTTTAACACAAGAAATTCAAAAACTTTCACGATAAAAATATTTTTTCATTTAAGTGGCCTGGGTTCGACTCTTGATACGGAAGAGCTGACGAACTGACTGTGACGTTTTCTTCTTCTTCTTTTCTTCTTCTTCTTTTCTCATTTTCATAATCATTTTCGATGAATTTGTTTATTCATAGTCGTGTCGAACTGATTATATAACTGCATAAGTTTACACTGAACACATAATTCTTGTATGAAGTTAAACAGTGTTTTGTTTGTTTGAACACATAGGTATTGGTACAAGGGGGCACCAGATATATATGCGCCACACAAATCTCATTTGATTTGTTTGAGGGATGGGATACTGCCTGGGTGCTTAAGCCGAAGCAGGTGGTTTTCTTGAAGAGACACATCCGGAGCCTTCAACCTAAAGGTCTACTCCACAAGGCAGTGGAGCATCGTAAGGATATGCAGTCCCATGGAAGCCGGTGACCAACGATTGGTTCGTACGCCATTTTTCCTTCAGAATCCTGGACCTCATATGCACTATTGGTTTGGAATGAGGGTTTTCCAACTCCTCTAGGTGCACTCTCTATGTCCACCAACCCGGTTAAAGCGCCGGACATTTGCAGTACAATAATTTTTTAAGTACTTTCTAGGGTATCTATAAATAATAAATAATTTACAATGAGGTTCGTTATTGTTAATGAAGAAGAAATAGAGACGGTTTGAGAAATTTTTCTTTCCAGTGATATTATTCATTAATGAAGTACAATTGTTCATATAGTGAACAATTTATTGGAAATCAAAAGATCACATTATAAAATTTTCGAATACTTGGAGTACTACAAGAAGGTTACGAAACAGTCAGTCAGCTACAATGTAGAACCAGGCAAATATGTGCATCAGTCCATTGGTTACGATAGTGACGTGGACCCTAACCAAATAGTCTGCATCTATCGAAATGGCTTAGACCACGTTGCGTAACGGTCTTAAAAGATTCAAGGGAAATAATAATATTTATCTTCAGTAAGATTTATCTTCCAAAATTATCAACAGTCAAATGAGTGAACTCATAGGATGTACGAATAACAAACTTGGTTATTGTAGACAATTTAACAATTCAAAGGTTTAAGTCAGAACTATTCAGGCAAAATCAGCTCATAGAATTACTCATTCTAGCTATCCACACCAACCTTTTTTTGTTTTTCTTACTCAGCAGTCAGTTATTATTATCAGCGTGCATTTTTTTCTTAGTTTTTTTTTCATGTTTATCAAGTGGATGATTATCATTCAAATTTTCGACCCTTAAACAATTTTCATTATACTGTTTCTCCATAACTTTTAGACCAAAACACCATCTTCATCTGATACTTGGAATTTCAATATACTTAACGGTATAACCTTATTTTATTTTCTGATATATCACTATGTTTGTGTCAGAAGAGATTTTGTGGAGATTGTAGTAATTTCAATAGTTGAGATCATGAGTCAACTGGGGCTAGACTACCACACAGTACCTGCAAACACTGGACGGCTGTTTCGTCCTGTTGTGAGACTGTTCATCAGTGCGCGTTCACGGCCCCACCTCGCGGGACTCGAAGCCAGGACCTATCAGTCTTGCGCGCGAGAGCTTAACCATTAGACCATTGTGTTATAAATCGCTCTTTTCTTACGGTTATGACCCAGCTATTCCTATTGCTTAGTATTCTCGGACACCGATTCACTCGACAAGTCCCCAAATCAGAACACGGTTGAACAGGAAAGAGATTATATTCCAAATAGCAAGTCAGAAGCACAATAGGGAAAACGTCAGTATATTTATAGTTTTTACATAAGAAGATTCCAGAGTGTTCTCCAACTATCGGCTAGTGCTGATTGGATAAGAATTAGCCAATCAGCGTGCATCAAAGCAATCATGCATTGAGCATGCTTTAATCTAGTCTATGTCCCGCTAACACATTGAGTTGGTCGGTATCCAGCGGTGTTAATGTCTAATTTCAACTAATCCACGAAATTCAGCGACACACCCACTATTGTCATCAGTGAGTTACTATCTCAAAACTGACCCGGTTGAACTCCACTGATGATATCATATTGAAATTGATATTTGAGTAACTGCTTATCTATGAAATTTCATTGCTTGCAAGAGAACTACATTGATAATTATGATAATATTACCGATGAGTAACTGTTCAAATCTGTCGATCATCTAGTCGAATATTCAAGAAAGTCAATCAGTTGTTTTTTTGATTATTATTATTTTAACACATAGATATTGGTACAAGGAGGCACATAATACACATGCGCCACACAAATCTCATTCGATATGTGTGAGGGCTGTGATACTGCCCGGGTGTCCAAACCGAATCAGGTGGTTTTCTTAGGGAGCCACTCCCCGAGCTTTCAACCTAAAGGTCTGATCCACAAGGCAGTGGAGCATCGTAAGGAGATGCAGTCCCATGGAAACCGGTGACCAACAATTGGTTCATACGCCATTTGTTCCTTCAGCATACTGGAGCCTATGTGTACCATTGGTTTGGAATCCGGTTCTAGCACCGGACATTTGCTTTTCGTCCTCTCATTTTCGTAAGCAACACCCCCACTACGAGAAGGCAATGAGTAGGATTTCCCTGGCAGAGGCTATATATGCGTGGCCATGTGAGAGCATTTCGAGAGGGAGGGCGGACTCTCCCCACCCTCGGTCGTACCAGGGCATTTGGGGGCCATTTTCTTGATTGGATGAATGATAAATTGTAATGCCACGTAAACCAACTACATTAAGTAAAAAGACTAAGAGTGCTTAAGAAGTTACCTTCTTTTACCTACATCTCTCATCTACCATACGAGAATGAGATACCAGGTAATCTATCCAAGCTTGTCTGATAAATCAGTTATCAGTTCCAAGTTGAAAGTTCATAAAAGATTCTTCAGAAAAAAACAAATTCCATGTAGTTTTTATTTTCAATCAAAATATACATCTGAAGCTGTAAAACTGAAAGAGAATCTCTCCCCATTATTTCCACGATTATAACCATAACATACAATTAATTTTTCAGCTAGCACTATTATATTCTATGTTGATGCTAAGTAAGTGCTTTCGTTAGACACTTCATTATCAAAACTTACAAAAAAGATCTTGTACACAGACATGAAGGCTTATGGATTATATGATTGAAAGTAATTGACAAAGAACAATTAACTGAATAATTAGACTAGTAAATGTTGTGTCTCGATGGGAATAATGAATGATGACTTTTGGGATCTATTTCTGGACTAATACGATACATGTAGTTTTTATTGTATAATTGTTAAGTAACTAAACTATTCATATTTGCGTTCCTCTTATCATTAACTTTGTTTTGACCTATGAACTGTTATTATACGATTTACCATTCTTGAATTACACCCTGTATATCAATTACAGTCTCCCACATTCATAGCCACATTTGGCTAATTCTTGTACAAATGTTCTTTCATATTTTATTGGTACGATGTGGTTTGTCTGACTGGTGGTATATAAAGCCAGTATGTTTGAAATAAATGATTCATATAGGGGTGGCTGAGATTGGTTTTCTGAACTTAATAAGAACGATAAAGACTCTAGACTGCTCGTACAGGTTTTTTGTGTCATTGGTTGAGTCGATAAGTCACTGTTCTCTAATTGGCGGTATCATTACGTTATACATTACTAGGTACACAGGGTACAATTTATAACAGTAAGTAGCACGTATCTGCAATTTCGAGATAAAAGTTACTAATTAACCAAGTTTAAAATCTGCATCACTAAGCCTATCGCTAATCTACTATAGAACTAAGAATTTCACACTAATAGCATCAATTACTGTTATATTATCAGTTTAAGGGTTGTGGAAACTTAAGTTTTTGACTGAGATCATGAACCGATTGATGTTAAACCACCATTGAAAACCTGGAAGCATATATTCTTTGATTTAATTATTTATCTCTAAAAATACTAATTGCACTCCTATGACAATTCCACTAAGTCGAAGTTTTGATTAGCGCTACTATACTGCTTACTGCAGTGGATGATCAATAAGAGCAAACGACTACGTTATAGTGGATTCTCATTTAAACAATTCGAATGCTTTGTATATCACTCATACTGAAAACTGTTTTTAGATAACTCCAACGGTGTATAAATTCCGGAAGATAAAGATACGAAGCACACTAAGAAAAAACTAACACAAATAGCGAATACGAATGGATGAATGAATAGGACTTAAGAAGAACATCTATATAACTAAGCGATGAGTCGTCCAGTGAATCCAGGCAATTAGCATTTAGGTTAGTAAGGAGAATATATGTGTAGGCTGTAACATGTGATCAAGGATACATGATCATAGAAACGTAGAGCTAATCACGTGAACATATAAGTGAATTGTTACGGAATTGCCTAATAAATTTAAATGAGTACAGACTCAAGTATATGCAATGCTACTATCACATCTAATGGAAAAGAATGAACATCAATTTATACTTCAATGTTTCTCTTTTAAACATGATCATTTGCATAAATAAAGAAGATAGTGTGATATTGTTCGGCTAAAATTATTCCTTATATTCATCAAAGTATAGATAATAAATTTCCATAGTAATTCCCGTATATTATTGTCTTACTCATTCATGGTTGTATGGGAGAGAATTCCTAAGATGTCATTGTGTAAAGCGGAATTGTTATGATTTATGGCCCTGTTAAATATAACTTGACAGAACTGCCAATCAGAATACTGATCACTATAAGCTTGTCTCTGAGGGAATCAATGACACACTGACCAACAGTCGTAGCATTTAGTCAACTCGATTTAGTAGCTGCACCCTTTGCCCTACTAGTTGAGTTCAGAACAAAATAATCGGCACCTATCGTATGGATATTATATTTCAAACATACTTAGTTCATATACAAACAAACCAAACTGCATCATACCATAAAATTCAAAGTAGCAACTATTCAAGTTCAAGCCAAAAGTGGTTGTAAGTAGGGGGGACTGTAAATTAAACAATGAGAATAAATTAAGAGAAATAAATCGTG